GATTATGGCATGCTTGTTGTGTCACGATTCATCTATCAAAAAGTGACCCACGATATCCCTAACTTTTTTTTTCCCTGGAATCGTATCCCTGGAATCATTCATGCTGTTACAGGAGCAGTTTTGCAATCTATTTTATATTCTATTCAGTGCTGTGCAAAGTGTAGTTTTTGTATATAGAATATACATATATGGTCTTTACCTGACATCTGGATTTTCTGTCTGCAAATACCTGCTCCTGCATCTACAAAACAGCACCAATTTGTTGCTGGTAAGTGTCTTTTGCTACTTCCATCTCTAAGAAAACATGGAAATGAAAAAAAAAAAAAAATTTGTAGATTCATGCAAATCCTAAATTTGGTATTGCTCCTTAACAAGTTAATAAATGGGCTTTGCAGTAACTGAATGGTCAGGAGGTCTATACGTGTCTCCAACTATAGCTGGGAGTAGGCCTGGTTCTTTGGTTGCTGGTGCTTGGGCTGCAATGATGTCTCTCGGCGAAGAAGGTTTCACAATAGATATCTCACTCTCCAAGCTTCTGTCATTAGAGTGTCTCAAAAAAATTTAAATGGTTGATTCTGCATGTTTCTTTTGTTCCACAGGCTACCTACAAAACACAAGCAAGATAATGGAAGCATCAAAGAGACTAGAGGAAGGGTTTGTACTTTATGACTTTTTCCCATTCTTTTTTCGTTTCAATTCTTATAGCATCGGCTATCATTATCCGCAGGGTAAGAGAAATCCATGAACTGTTCGTCGTTGGAAAGCCAGATATGACAATCGTGGCGTTTGGTTCTAAAACATTAGATATCTTCGAAGTTAATGACCTCATGTCTTCAAAAGGTTGGCATTTAAATGCACTACAGAGACCCAACAGGTAATCCTAAAGACCAAAAAAACATTGGTGTTTCAAACACAGTCTCCTTGTCACTGTTCTGAAACTATCCATGTCTGTGTTTTGGACCAGCATACATATATGTATAACTCTTCAACACGTCCCTGTAGTTGATGGTTTCCTCCAGGATCTGCGTGAAGCTGTAGAAACTGTAAGTCTATTAATGAAAAAGGCCGTTTGATTGCTCGTTTCTTTTTCTGATATTGATCGCTCGTTATTACATGCTTTGGTCAGGTGAAAGCAAACCCAGGACCGATCACAGGAGGCTTGGCTCCAATATATGGAGCTGCAGGGAAGATGCCGGACCGAGGCATGGTGAATGAGCTTCTGGTTAGTTTCATGGACAGTCAATATTAAGTCTCTATTTCAAGATTGAAGCATCATCAACTGGAGCAAACTGACATCACATTTTCAGTTGCAAGAGCAAAACTTTGTACATTCAAAAACCACATTGTTTTCATTGGCCCTAATAAAATATCATTACAATCTCCATTATAAACAACTTTGTTCGTTACATTACGCATTCAGAAGAAAGTAAAAGATGATCAATCAGATTTGTGGTCAGAAGGTTTTGATCTAGGAACTTGAACGGGCTTGTCCTCTCGGCTTTTCGCCAAGTTCTCGTCTCTTTCTCTGAAGTAATGGTCGAAAGCACGAGGCAGGAACCTTGGGATCAAGAAACAAAGTAGATTCACTCCAAAGTAGCCTAAATTAGCTATTGCTAAATACCGTCCAAACCAGAACCATGCAACCGCCTGAAAAAAACGATTTCATACTGTTTAATCTCAAACCGATGATATAAAAACTTGTGTTTGATCAAAGAAGAGCTTACGTTGGGTGTAGCATTGACTGGTAAAGATTTGTTGAACCAAACATCTTTAGACCAATCCATGATGACAAAGATTCTCCAGACAGTGTAGAGCATCGGCACGAGAGCTCTTACCGGTGCAGAGAATAGAGAAAGGCCACTTATCACATTCTCTGTCAAGATTTGACACGACAGTAGAAACAAGTGTGGTGTTGCTGATCTTACCGCTTGATCGTCTCCTCTTGCAAAACCACCTAACACGTAAGCTAAAGGCAAGAACAGACCAATCGTTGTCCCCGAAATCACGTAAATCCTTGCATTAACCGGAAAACCAAAAATGGTTAGAATCTTTATCAAGAAAGCGAACAGAGAGATGTTTTTTTCTTTTCTTGTAAAAGGTTTTGGAACCTGAAGAGTTTGCTGCCGTGGAAAACTTCAGGGGAAGCGGTGGGAACGCCGTGAGAAGGGAAAGCTAAACGCGAGAGAGCGATAATATAGACAGACGCAAACGCTGGAAATAGCATGTCGAGTAACGGTACGAGACCGCTTGCTGAGAAAACTAGTATGAACGCGACCAGCTGTAACTCTATCACCCTAAGTGATCCCATCAAGCCACCACCGCCGCCACCGCCGGCCGCCGTCATCCCTGACCACCGTCCTTTCTCACCGGACGTTGACGTTTTGTCCACGTCGGTTCTTGGACCCACCGCAAGAGATACGCCTGACATGATTTTATTCTTTAATAATTTTTTTTTTTTTTTTGGTTTACTTTGATATGTTTCAAACGGATAAAGTACACTTGATAACGCAGAAGCTTGCAGGAGTACGAATTTATGAAGAGGGGATCTCTCGTTGATGTAGTTCCACGTGAAGCTTGGGTGATTTTACACGTGTCAAAGTGAAGACATGAGTGTTCATTGCCTGTCTTTCAACGTGTCATCATGTCGTATGTTGATTGTTGAACAATGTTCAATTGTTCAATAAAGTTCATAATTTGCATACAAGGTCTACTATTAGATGATTAGCCACTTAAGAATCACGATTGATTTCTGTTTAGTCCCGGTTTTTAGCATTTTTGAAATCTTAGATTTGTGTAAGTAAAAACAAAACACGCAAAATTAAGGGATTTAATTTTTAGAACTAATTAAATCTTGAAGTTTTGAAATAATTTTTAAATAGACAGAAAATAAATCTAGTCGAAAGGATGATGCATTTTTCCTAGTTATGTAGTCTGATAACAATAGAAAAAGAAAAACTCAAATCTGCATGCAATTCAGTAGTAGTAAGAAAAAAGACAAAGCATCAAATAGGAAAGCTAATGTATATATGAATGTTCTAATTCTTCATCGTCTTCTTCCCCTTCGATCACATTGCTATTGCTTCAAGCTAATCTATATCTTATTGCTTCGATCACACTCTAATCAAATTAATGTAATCGTATTCCACATCAAAAAAATGAAAATGTACGACTACATGCAGGATAAATGATATGGCGATGATATTAGCACAAACCAGGTACATGTCACGGTTAATTAAATATTATTGTTCAGCACTTGGTTATACGAAAGTGGAATCATGCCTTACTGAAACTAATTCAACTATTTTAGCATTTTTTCCAAAGAGTCCAAGACCTTCGTAATCACATATCTAAATACCAAAGAAAAATTCTGCAAGAATACTCTTGAAATACATGTGATTTAAGTAACATAGATCAGAGAGGCTATATTATTAAGGAACCCAAAATTAATAACTAATTCGGTTTTAACGAGAATCTATTTGGTTTTTTTTTTCTTTTTTTTTTTCTCTCAATCCCAACTGCCACATCCACCACATCCACTGCCACAGCCACCACAACCTCCACCGCCACTGCCACCGCCACTATCATCTCCACCGCTGTTGCCACCGCCACCATCATCTCCACCGCTGTTGCCACCGCCACTGCTATTGCCACCACCACCTCCACAGCCACAGTAAAAGCAAGTGCCTCCACAACCACCTCCTTTACTTTCATATGCTCTCGTTGTCTTTCCCTGCTGAACATTCGGATTGATGCGCCTATAGAGGCGGGACTCGTCTTGTTTAGCCCCAGCCTCCCTATACAGCTCCATTAACACCTTGTACGCTGAGTCTTTCGACTTTGCATCAACTCTTACTTCTGTTCTACGCAACATCTCGATCGCTTTTCTTCTTGAACCGCCTTTCAAGTAAGCCTTTGCCATGCTTATTCCCGTTTGCCACGCCAGTTGGAATCGCGGGTTTTCATCTTCTAATCCCATCAGAAACTTCTCCATTGCCTCCACATCAGGTACACTCGCGTAAGCCTTCAAAACGTTATTGGCCGTGAGAATCTTGTCATGCTCCACTCCGTTTTCCTCCATCTGCCTCATAATCTCCTCGACCATGTTTCTTTCTCCAAGAAGGCCGTAGAGGGAAATCATATTGTAGTAAGGGTTAGGTTTCGAGAGAAAGCTTAGCTAAGTTGCTTCCGCCTCGTGTCGTGTTTTCTTGGTTTTTGTGTAAAAGGTTAAGAGAGTGGTGTAGACTGAGTCGTCTCTCATGTTCTCAGGGATGCTTTTGAAGAACTTCTCTGCTTCTCTCAACCCTGAGTGGATCTCAACAAGATAAAGCCGAGATGCAAAATATTCAGAGCTTACATCGAAAACCCCTCGTTTAGGTATCCACTCTAAGACCTAATACATCACCAAGAACAGAAATATATACATTATACTCTTTTATGAGACTAAATACTATATTGGATCAAGAGAATAAAGAAGTTGAGACCTGTAGGGCGTGATCAAATCGCTGAGACTCGCAGAGAGATTTGACGACGCCTTTTAGATCATTAGGGTTTATTTGATTGCCTTGTTCTAACCATTCGTCTAGCACAGGTGTAACCTTAACCCTCCTTAGGATCCTTTTTTCCACCGCCATGACCCGACTATGTAAAGTGTCATTCAGCTTCGCCGACGTTAGGGTCCCGGAAAATCGAATCAGCTGTGTTTTCCTGAACAAGGGAAAATTTCTTGAGTATTGTCCAAGGCGTTGCATCATTCTCTATGATCGGTAAATTCTGAGAAAAGGTGGATCTTTTGTTTTCTCTAAACTGCCATCATTCTTTGTTCCTGCGTTATTTTCTATAGGATATTTGGTGTAAATATATAAGAATTAATATCGAAAAGATATGTTATATGCACCGTTTCAAAAAAAATAAAACATATATATATATATATATGTATATGCTGAAAGCCTGAAAAAAAAAATATTAGGGTTTACAATTTTTTTTCTCTGAGAGTGGGGTGTAGTTAATTGTTAAATTAAATAGTACATTAAAAAAATCTCAAATCCAAGACTAGTATTTTGAAAACAAAATGTAGATTAGAGTTCAAAATTCTTCTCTCCAAGCTTACAATGTCAAAACCCAAATATAAAACTAAATACAGACTATAGAATCATGTTCTTCGCATATAGGGTTTTAACATGAGGAAGATTCGAGTCAGCTGATGGGATTCTGGAAGTGGGGTCAAATCTATTAGAGCATAAAATAATACATAAATAAGGGCATTATAAAAAAAAACTTTAGGCGAATACTAAATTTGAACAAGTCATGGGGGCAACTGCCCCTCCTAAACACTATGTTCATCTGCGCACGAACCAAGTTGAGTATATTGACCTCTTACTCTTAGACAAAACTTGTGGATACATCGATCAACGTTCAAAACGTGGAGCTATCGATCTGGAGTTCTAGAACTGGACCTGTAAGTCCCTACCGCTAGAAAAAACCCTTCTTCTCATCTAAATGCTAGACTGGAATGGCCCAAGGAGGTAGACCGATGGGTCCTCTTCCAATGTATCTTTAATAACACCTAAGATATTTTAAACTAGACTCAAAGACATTTCAAAAACGATGAAAACACGCACACCGAACTAATTCATTCATGACATGGTTGGCAACACTCAATATGAGCTCTCGACAGGTGGCCGAATGATGTCCTAGAATGTAAGAGCTTGTGTGTCTTGCACCTTTTACCAAGAACCTATCGAAACTCGAGACCATCTCTTTTTCCTTTGTCGGTCCTCGGCTGAGATATGGTCCATGCCTCACCCGAAATCTTATGGCCACAAATTTTACAACACAATATTGGGATATCATTCTTGAGCTCATCATCTACGAAACGCAAGATAAACTTCATTATTGGTTCCTTGTGGGGTACGTATTTCAAACACAATCTACACCATTTGGTGAGAAAGAAATACTAAGAAACATGGAGAAAATCATATCATTCCTTCACAATAAGTAAAGAGAATAGATAAGTAAGTGCGAAACCGATTATCAACTACTTGAAGCAAGGGAGATTCTTGATACGATCAAGGTAAGGAGACATGGTTTGCAACTAGATAAATGTACTAGGATTGTAATATTTATCCTTCTTCTAGCATTAGCAAGAAGTTAAACACAAGTAGCATTTTTTGTAGAAACGGTTTTGTTGAATTAATTTTTACATTCAATAAAAAAAACGACGAAAACACAACAAACTACTTACCCATAATGGCATCAAGATACTTGGCCCAAAATTAGATATAGAAATAAGAGAGAGAATAGCACGTGACCCTAACAGTGACTAGATTCCACTGTACAGTAGTATCCTATGGCCTATAAGATCCATCCAAGATCTTTACATGATTTCAAATCTTGTTGAGATTACATAAATGGAGGGGCAAATCGTAAAATCCTATTAATGACAAATGGTAAAAAGAAGGCATTATTAAGAAATCAATGAAAGAAGAAAAGAAAACAGCAAATATCTGAAACGAAAAGAAAAGTAAAGATAAAATAAAAACAAAGAATGGAACATGCTATGAAAGTTGAACTTGGGATGGACCAAATGTGGAACTGGTTGCAGCCATGGACTATGGTTGTGGTCCCCAAAATAGAAAGTTAACTTGGCCTAAAGGTCAAACATACGTTTCATGTGCCTGAAGCGACGGGTCTTGCATTAACTACGAGTTGTCAGATACAGTGTGAGATTTGAATGATGGTTAGATTACAGTTACCTATTATTGACTCTTCTTTACATTAAATACAACAGTAAACGAGGAGAAGGCTATTTTTGTTGCTTTTCGTTATAACTCCCATTTTACTCGTCACCTTCCATTTCCCCACAAGAAACCCCACACCTTAAATCCTTCTCTGCTCATCTACTCTCTCAAGTACCTCTCCGTTATTGAACTCTGTGTTCAGTGAAAAATGGAGAACATAGAACCATACTCTAACGGAAACATCAATACAGAGACAGAAGAAAAGAAAGAGGAGAAGAAAAATATGAAGAAAGAATCAGTTTCATTGATGGGTTTGTTTAGGGCAGCAGATAAAGTTGATTGCCTTTTGATGTTCCTAGGAAGTTTAGGGTCGTGTATTCATGGCGGTACGCTTCCGCTTTTCTTCGTGTTCTTTGGGAAACTGCTAGATTCTCTTGGCAGTCTTTCTGCAGATCCTAAAGCCATATCTTCCCGTGTTTCACAGGTAATTCTCACAAACAGCTATTTCCTCTCTCTCTCTCTTTTGAATATTGGTCATAAGTTGATAACAGTTTGGTGATTTGTGTTTTCCAGAATGCTCTGTACTTGGTCTACTTAGGATTGGTAAATTTGGTATCAGCATGGATGGGTACGTTTCTATCCACATTTTACATTTATATGTTTTTGTAATTAATGTTAACAAGTTTTAGTTGGAATGGTATGGTTTTATTTTCAGGAGTTACTTGTTGGATGCAAACAGGGGAAAGACAAACAGCAAGATTGCGTATAAACTATCTCAAATCAATCTTGGCCAAAGACATTACTTTCTTCGACACAGAAGCTAGAGATTCAAATTTCATTTTCCACATCTCAAGTGACGCCATCTTGGTTCAAGATGCAATTGGCGATAAGGTATCTTTCCTAGTATATGAATAAATAATTCTAAGAATGAAAAAAAAATGTAACTGATGACATGTTTTGTTTTGTATCAGACCGGCCATGTTTTGCGGTACTTATGTCAGTTCATCGCCGGATTTGTCATCGGTTTTTTGTCAGTATGGCAACTTACGCTGCTGACGTTAGCAGTGGTTCCATTGATAGCAATAGCAGGAGGAGGGTATGCTATAATTATGTCTACCATTTCTGAGAAGAGTGAAGCTGCTTATGCTGATGCAGGAAAAGTCGCAGAAGAGGTTTGTTCTTAATATATTAAGGCTGACATTGTTTCAAACGTGCGTTTTCATTTTACTTTTGAAAAACGTTTTCACAAATAGATTCACTTTGCTAGAAAATAGTTGTGGGTTTGGTGGTTTGTTTTTTCCAATAAGCAAACCAAACGCAAACAAGCAAATGAAGATCTGAAGCTCTTCTTTTTTATTAAATTCTTAACACTTGGATTTTCAGGTTATGTCACAGGTGAGAACCGTGTATGCATTTGTGGGAGAAGAAAAAGCGGTAAAATCTTACTCAACTTCTCTCACTAAAGCTCTGAAACTCAGTAAAAGGAGCGGAATTGCTAAAGGTTTAGGAGTTGGGTTAACATATGGCCTCTTATTTTGTGCTTGGGCTTTGCTTTTTTGGTACGCAAGTTTTCTTGTACGCCACGGCAAAACAAATGGCGCAAAAGCCTTCACAACGATCCTGAATGTCATTTACAGCGGATTGTAAGTCCCAAAACTCTGAGACCTCTTGCTTTATTTATCATCAAATTGGATAGTATTAGTTATCTTGTTGCAATTTTGCAGCTCCTTAGGTCAAGCCGCACCTAGTTTATCGGCGATTTCCAAGGGCAGAGCTGCTGCTGAAAATATATTCAGAATGATAGGAAACAACAATCTTCAAGGTTTTGAAAGATTAGACGACGGTATAACTTTGCAAAATGTAGCAGGGAGGATTGACTTTCACCAAGTGTCTTTCGCTTATCCTTCGAGACCAAACATGGTTTTTGAGGATCTAAGTTTTACTATACGTTCAGGCAAGACTTTTGCATTTGTCGGTCCAAGTGGTTCAGGAAAGAGCACAATCATATCAATGGTTCAACGTTTCTATGAACCCAAATCAGGGGAGATTCTCTTGGATGGGAATGACATCAAGAGCCTGAAGCTGAGTTGGTTGAGAGAACAAATGGGATTAGTGAGTCAAGAACCGGCATTATTCGCCACGACCATATCTTCTAATATTCTTCTTGGTAAAGAGAATGCAACTATGGATCTGATCATAGAAGCTGCTAAAGCAGCCAACGCAGATTCTTTCATTAAGTCATTACCCAATGGTTACAATACTCAGGTATATTACGGGAATTTTCATTTGTTACTACATGTATAGGTCCACTTCCTTATTTGTCAAACCATTCTAATAGGTTGGAGAAGGAGGAACTCAGCTCTCAGGAGGACAGAAACAGAGGATTGCGATTGCTCGAGCGGTTCTAAGAAATCCAAAGATACTACTCTTAGATGAAGCAACAAGCGCTCTTGATGCCGAATCAGAGAAGATCGTTCAACAAGCACTTGAAAATGTTATGGAGAAAAGAACAACAATCGTCGTTGCACACAGATTATCCACCATCCGAAATGTTGACAAGATTGTTGTATTGAGGAATGGTCAGGTTATGGAAACCGGTAGCCACGAAGAACTGATATCAAGAGGAGGAGATTACGCGAGTCTAGTGAATTTTCAAGAAACAGAACCTCAATCAATTATGTTGGAATCTTGTAAATCTCAAGCTGGATCTTTTAGTTCAAGAAGGGTTTCTAGTTCAAGGAGGACTTCAAGCTTCAGGGATGATCAAGAGAAAACTGAAAATGATTTAAGTCACAAAGATTTAAGCTCATCTTCAATGATATGGGAACTTATGAAGCTAAATGCTCCAGAGTGGCCTTATGCATTACTTGGCTCAATTGGTGCAGTTCTTGCTGGAGCACAACCAGCATTGTTCTCCATGGGGATTGCTTATGTGTTAAACGTGTTTTATTCGCCTTTTCCAAATGTGATCAAGCGCGAAGTCGAAAAGGTAGCTATTATATTCGTTGGAGTTGGAATTTTAACAGCTCCTATATATCTCCTCCAACATTACTTCTATACACTCATGGGAGAGCGTCTTACTTCTCGGGTTCGCTTATCCTTGTTCTCAGGTTAGCAAAAAACAAAGTTAAACATCATTGTTTTGGGATCGATTCGTTTCTTGAATGTGTATGTATTTTCTTACAACAATTTCAGCTATTCTTTCGAATGAGATTGGGTGGTTTGATTTGGACGAAAACAACACTGGCTCACTCACTTCAATATTGGCTGCTGATGCAACTTTGGTGAGGAGTGCTCTAGCAGATCGCCTCTCGACAATAGTCCAAAACCTGTCGCTTACAATCACAGCTTTAGCAATTGCCTTTTTCTATAGTTGGCGTGTTGCAGCTGTCGTAACTGCTTGTTTCCCTCTTCTCATTGCCGCTTCACTTACCGAGGTAACTCAAAAAATCAAAGATTTGTCTCAACTATATTCTGAATCTTGAAACTGAAAAAGCTTGAAATGTTATATGTTGCAGCAATTGTTTCTTAAAGGATTTGGAGGAGATTACACAATGGCTTACTCTAGAGCAACTACAGTGGCGCGTGAAGCGATTGCGAATATAAGAACTGTCGCTTCGTTTGGTGCTGAAAAGCAAATTTCAGAACAGTTTGCTTGTGAGCTAAGCAAACCCACAGAGAGTGCCTTTCTCAGAGGTCATATCTCTGGATTTGGATACGGTTTGTCTCAGTGTCTCGCCTTCTGTTCCTACGCTCTTGGTCTCTGGTACATCTCGGTTTTGATTAAGCACAAGGAGACAAACTTTGCGGATAGTATAAAATCTTTCATGGTATTGCTTGTCACGGCTTACTCGGTAGCGGAAACGCTTGCTTTGACCCCAGATATCGTGAAGGGCACGCAAGCACTCGGGTCGGTATTTAGGGTTTTACATAGAGAGACCGAGATACCTCCAGACCAAGCTAACTCAAGAATGGTTACACATATCAAAGGAGATATAGAATTTAGAAACGTGAGATTTGCGTATCCCACAAGACCTGAAATCGCCATTTTCCAAAACCTAAACCTACGAGTCTCAGCCGGGAAAAGTCTTGCGGTCGTGGGATCCAGCGGTTCGGGAAAGAGCACTGTGATCGGACTGATTATGAGATTCTACGATGCAAACAACGGAAACCTCCTCATTGATGGGCAATGCATAAAAACCTTAAACCTACGTAGCTTGCGCAAGAAGCTAGCATTAGTCCAACAAGAACCAGCTTTGTTTGCAACAACCATACATGAGAACATCAAGTATGGGAACGAGAACGCGTCGGAGGCAGAGATCATCGAAGCTGCGAAAGCCGCAAACGCACACGAGTTCATAAGCAGGATGGAACAAGGGTACAAGACGCACGTGGGTGATAAGGGAGTGCAGTTATCAGGTGGTCAGAAACAGAGAGTGGCTATTGCGAGAGCTGTTCTTAAGGATCCTTCAGTGCTTCTCCTTGATGAGGCAACGAGTGCTTTAGACACGAGCTCGGAGAAACTGGTCCAAGAGGCGCTAGACAAGCTCATGAAGGGACGAACCACGGTGCTGGTGGCTCATAGGCTCTCGACCATAAGAAAAGCAGACACGATCGCTGTCTTGAACAAAGGAAGAGTTGTGGAAAAAGGAAGTCATAGAGAGCTTGTTTCTAAATCTGATGGATATTATAAGCAATTGACGAGTCTTCAAGAAGTGGCTTGACCTATGATCGTTGAAATTTTCTTTTGATTTTTTTTTTCCCTATAGTAATCACTTAAAGAATTAATTAAAGAGCAAACAGAGAGCAAGCAAGAATTAATGACAAATAACGAGAATTCAATATTGATTAGACGCATTGGGTCATAGTATATATTAGGGATTTAGAAAATCAGAAGCAAAACAAATCATCAAAGAAACAATGAGAAAGCTCGTTCTAGAACTCAGAAGTCAGAACACAATCATGATCACACATTAAATTAAGTCTGATGTGTTCTCATTACTCCTCAGTCCTCACATAAATGAACTTTTATTGGTTATGGTCTTAGGGAAGTATTGCTCGTTTAGGGTTTTTCAGAAAAATTATCAAACACCTGTGGTGCGCAATTATCCCCAAGATTTGGAACTAGGTGAAAAATCAAACTCTCGTAACATGTTATTTTATTATGCAGACGTCTATTATCACATAATTTTTTCAATTTATGGCATCAACCTCTAAAACTTAAAATGAACGGCTAATTTAATATATCTATATATATAACACCTTATATTGTTATATATAGACCTCTAAATAATCACACAAATGAAAAATTTAATTACCACATGGATCTCTAAATTATCACACAACGCTATAATTTATCTCATAGCGCGCTAACAAAACTAAATCTTAATCTCGAAATCCTAAAGTTAATTAAACATGTATTTCATAGATTAGAGGTAAAAAAAACAGAGAAATAGAGGTTGATAATAAACATGTCACGGGACACATCATTGCCATTTTTCTATCTTTTCTTTCCGAAAAAGAACATGCTAGGAGAGCTGAACTTGATGGTGGAGGACGTGAGTAGCAGCCACTATAGTCAAATATGTGGTCCCTCTTGTGGTCTGAAGTAGAGGAGACGAACAAAATGATACAAAGTGAGCAGTTCCACATTGATTATGTAAGGAAGAAATATTTTTTGCTTGCCCATAAGTAGCTACCTCATTAATATGCTCTGACTACGTGGAAGTTGCCAAATATAGTTAGAACAATGGTGAGGTAATTATTAGAGCTCCTCTCATTTAGCACTTGACATTAAATATAAGCGAGGGAGGCGGCTCTTTTTACTTTCCCAACTAGAAACCCAATACCCTAAATATATCTCCCTGCTTGACATACGTTTTCAAGTACCAATTTGTGCTTTTGATCTCCGTGTGATTCAACCGAACCGATTGAATTGATGAGATTCGCTTTGGTTTAAGCTAAAACGACTCAGTTATACATATCTTGCCTTCCCTCCAAAACAGAACTGATTAAAAAGAAAAGCCCTCAAAGAAAATCCTCCATTCTAGTCTCCTTCCTCTCCGAGAAATGTCTCGCGATTACTTCTTCCGAAAGAATACACTCAATGAGTTCTACATCGCTACATTTTATCCAAGCTAAAGCATGAGACTTTGGATGAACTTGCAAAAATAAAAGTGGTCTTGAACATGTTCAGTAGCTACGGCTTTTCACCTCTCAAATCAGTCACCAGGAACGTTTAAATAATCTGGAACTAAAACAGATGTTTGTTTTAGAAGATCTTCTAGCAATAGCTGTATATTGAAACCGATAATCGTATCCATATTATATGTAGTTACTAGGGAGTATAATTTCTGTATTATTAAATTTAAGATGACGGATATTGTACTTAGCATTTACATTAGTGGATATTTAATTTAAATGATACGTTGAAAACAAATTTAAAATTTATCGTTTCATTGTTGAATATTGTTAATGTAGTTCAATCCGTATTTCTCTTAAGGTTTCTGGTTTTAGGATTTTTGGTTCATAGATAATTGTATCCAACGTGAAACTTGATCTAACATGGATGATTTACTATGGATTTTATTTAAATTTTCTAATCCAATATTTACTTCTAATTTTTTCCTTTTTTAAAAATCTGGATTCAATTTTATGAATATACTTATATACATATGAATCCCTAAATAATAAGCATTTTATGGTTATTTTGGCTTAGTGTGGCTAGCAAGAGGAGGAATATGTATCCAGCTTTTTAAGTCCAAACCAAAAATGGTGAGCAGATTCAAGGCATACACCCAAAAAAAAAAAAAGCTGTAAGTAAACCTGACTTACAAGGGTCACATTTTAGTGTTTTGAGTGAAGGAGCTGTTAAAAAAATATCGACACACTAGGGTCCCAAACCACCACAACTATATATGCTCAACGTATGCTGCTCAAAGTTTACCATAGCCAGAAGAGATTCTACCTAAATTATAACCATAAAATTAGCCAGCATGGGTATTTCCCGATGTAAACTATGATAAAGAGACAAAAGAAGGCCCCACAAAAAGCAACACGTCTCACGACCTTGAATGCAAAAGCCTTCACCATCCTGAAATGCATCCCAATCCTCTTCTCTGTGATCGACGTTACCAATTCCTTAACCTTCAAGGCATCACCTTCTGCGTAAAACCGAGAAATCAGCAGACCCGGTATGCTCAAATCCAGCTTCGGTCCATTCGGTTTCCACTCTCCATATACATTCTCTGCTCCTTCCACATCTTCCAGCTTCAACAAAGAGCTAATCACAGTTCGATATAAATCATCTTCTGCTTTCTCGTCCTTCTTACACTCTCCCCAAAGATTTTCATCATGAACCTCCTCTTTTTCTTCCTTTCTACATTCATTCCATAGACGGTACACTTCTCTTTTACACCCTGCTACGTAACCATACGTCTCTATAGCCTTTTTTTTCAAACCAGCTTTAGCATAAGCCTTTGCCATTGCAACCATCGTGCCTCTTTCCAGTTTGATTCCATCTTCTCCACCCCAAAGTCTCGCAAACTTCTCCATTGCTTCAACTTCTGATTCAGCCGCGTACACCCTCAAAACCTTGTTCACCATGAGACTATCAGGATCCACGTTGTTCTCTTCCATCTCACGGAGGATCTTCTTGGCCATCTTTTTGTTACTGTAGAGAGACAGCATCGAGTTGAATGGTGAAGGTTTCAAAAGGAGACCGAGCTCTCTCATCTTCTTGAAAGTGGCCTCAGCTTTACCTAAGTTTTTGTCGGATTTGGCGTAAGAGCTTAAGAGAGTTGCGTAGACAGAGTAATCCTTCATGTTCTCAGGGATGTTTTCAAAGAACTTCTCTGCTTCTTCCAAACCAAGAACATTTTCAGTCAGATAAAGCCGAGCTGCATAATCTTCTGAATAAAGATTACAAACTTTTTTTTCACCCATCCACTCAGAAACCTAGCTAACAGTTGAAACGAACCTTGTTATCAAAGTCAAAAGAAAGTCTATAGAGTGGAAGTGTAGTAAAGGGTAATTAAAGTCTATAAGCAACATACCTGAAGGGCTTTAGAAAACTGATTGGAATCACGGAGACTCTTGATGAGGCATTTGAGATCAGATTGTTTCATCGTATCTCCCCATTGCTCCAAAATCGGGGTGATAGGTTTCTTCATTCTCTTGTTCTTGATGGTTCTATTGTTCATGAGTTTCTCAGCCATCTTTATCATTCCTCTCTCTCGATAACCAGAGGCCAACATAGTCGGGATTCGGATATCAAACTCAAGAGGCAAAGATTCCCACATTTTGTAAATCTCTTCTGCCTCAACTATATCGTCTAGCTTTAAAAGCGACCAAATCACATTTCTATATCCATTGTTATCACATTGTTCTATCTTCTTCTCGTAAAGGTTCCATATACGCAAAACCTCTTCTTTCTCTCCAGCTTCACCATACAGCTTCAAGAGAAGCTCGTAAGCGGGTTTTAGCGACTCTTGATCCACCAATTTCTCTGTCAACCTCAGCTTTTGTATAGCTTTTTCTCTTGAACTGTCTCTCAAGTAAGCCTTTGCCATGTCAAGAGCCGTGAGCCACTCAAGTTTGAACCCATGAACAAATTTCCACTCATTAAAAAACTTCTCCATCTCAGCCACGTCGGACAAAGCCGAGTATATCTTCAACACTTGGTTCACAGTGACACTATCTGCCTCCACGCCGTTATCTTTCATCTCACGCAAAAGCTCCTCAACTTTATCTCGATCTTGTAGTGAAGCGTAGAGGGACATCATCGCGTTGTAAGGAGAAGGTCTCGAGAGAAGACCAAACTCCCTCATGTTCTGGAACGTGGCTTCGGTTTTAGACAGAGTTTTGTCTGATCTTGCGTAAGAGGTTAAAAGACTGGTGTAGACAGAATCGTCTCTTGCGATCTTAGGAATACTTTCGAAAAACTTCTCTGCTTTTTCTAACCCCATAACGTTATCTATGAGATGAAGCCGAGCTGCGAAATCTTCTGGAGTTGGATTGCACATCTTTTCTTCACTCATCCACTCTGAGACCTAATTAATAACATCACCACAAGAAATCAATTCCAATAACTTTAGAATCACTAATTACACAGGAGGAAAAGAGGAGAGGATGGAACCTGAAGGGCTTGGAGAGACTGCTTGGAATCACGAAGGTGTTTGATGATGACTCTCACTTGCGAAGGGTTTACTTGATTCCCTTGTTGCCGCCATTGTTTAAGCACCGGGATGATTTCTGCGTTTCGTTCAAGAGCTTCTGCGATTTGATTCTGCAATGATTGGTTAGCCTCCGTGTGGAGTGATTGCGTTCTTGTGGAGCGAATCACGTAACGCTTTGCGTGTTGTAGAAGGAATCTCATCATGGTTTAATCTGGAAGGCGAAGAAGATACATGGAGAAGCTAGGGTTTAACGTATGTTCTTTCTTTTGGATAATTTACTTATTGATATTTTTTTTTAATAGATGTGATAGAATGTTTTAAGAACCTTAAAATACGGGTGTGTTGTAGCTTCTTCTTTTTTGGGCTTGTTCGTCACGTTATTATTATTTATTTATTTTTATTTTTTTGTCAGAGTGTCGGACACGTTATTATTATGTTTTTTTAAAAAAAATCCTCTTTTACAAACTTCAATAGAATTTAAATAAGATTCAAAACTCTTCGAGGGAGCCTATGCGGCCAGAGAGAGCAAAAAAAGGAGATTTTGGCTCCGGTGATATACACTGGAAATGGTGTATAAACCTATATTCTATTTTTGTTTCATCTACTTTGCACTTTATTGGTTTGTTCCATGATCAGTATCAAAAATTTCGATATCAGAATTCATGTACAGTATGTAACTCACAATTCTTAAACTTAAGCCACCATTTTATTAAATTACAAGGAAAAAAAATAATCAAAGAGGTGTGATAATGATAAAATTCGAAAAGCGAAAGGTATTTTAGAATACCTTTTATATGTGGAAGAGAGGAAGATGATTAAAGATCGAAGAGGGCGCAAACAAAAGCGTTAACTATTCGAACTAGCGTGGGTGCGGGATGCTGACTCGCGGTCCCAACGTCCTCGCTTTGCACCACTGAGCCATTCAAATAGTTACACAAACCATACCAACCTTCTGCTATTTAAGCTTTCATCTTTTCGTTCTTTCGTCCATTTCTTAGTAACTGCGTTCAATCTTTTACTATTTTTTTTTTGTTTTTCTGTTTATTTTTCTGCAGCGTTTCAATCTTTAGTTATCTGCGAATCTAGCACACAATCATATAGACATTATGGCAAATTTGTTGCGACTCTGCAGCTCTCAGCCTTTTCACCAAGTACATTATGGTTCAAGAACAGTGCTGTGTTTCCACAAAAGTATTGGCCTATAACGTAGCCCAACTTTGAAGTTATAGTTTTCTTCTCGATTAAATTATAACCTTTCCAAAAGTAATGAGAGATGTCCATGCAACACGGAGTCTATGTTCTCTGATGTCTAAGCATGGAGTCAGACATAAGATTCATCTTTGTCAATTTTCTGCGTATGTTTGAATATTCAAAATCACACACGAATGCCACTGTTGTTTAGCAACGTAGCATCACAAGAAATGTGGAACATCAGCGGAAAACTTTGATCAACCCGACAAGTCAGAGTGTTATTAACAAAGACTTAATTCATTAGCCAAAGGCATAGATATAGCTTGTGAATATTCAAATCGCTATAAATTGACCAGGAAACAGTCAAACAGAGTATTGCTTATACAAGTTTAACAAACAATCCTTTTTCCAACTAGACAAGCTTCCAAGGAGCGGTACATAACAGGGCCATATAAGACAAACAAAAAGAAAAGAGTGGCCAAATCGAACGAGACCGATCTATGTACATTTTCGAGGCAGAGGAAGTAGAAAAAAAAAAGTTCCTAACTTCGTAGCTAATAGAGGACCTAATGTGAAGGGACTTCAAGGATAGGAAGCTTCACTAGCTTTCACAAATCTGCCTTTGACACGCAATCTTGTATCAGCTCTTGCTTTCCTCGATTCATACCTTATGGTCTTATCATATCTGTTGCCACACAAGATCCAAGACAAATGGAGAAACGTAATACTGTATTAGGTTCTTAGGGGGAGATAGGCAATAGAAAAACGATCAAAGGGAAAAGATAAAACGGCGTTTTACCTCCGTGTTTTCTTTTTTTCCTTGTAACGCTGCATTGCATTGCCTCTGTTCTGAGCCAGTCGCTCCAGATCAGCCTTGGTTGCCACTAGTCTGGTGGACTTACAACTAGTTCCAGCAATTTGTTCAGTGAAATGTAACTCATTGGAGGAGTTTGAACCTTTCTCGGAGCCGCCAAAGGTGATTGGGAGATTGTTACTCTCAGATGTTGCTGGTACCTGGCCTGAAGTAGATCGATTGTAGTCACCCTGCAAACGAATCCTAATCAGCACCGCAATTCACAATACGTCTATGTATGATTACATCAACGTTGCCTAACACAAAGATATCACAAGCCAAAATGTTGGCATTGGTTTCTAATCTGAGGTAAAACGAAGAAAAGCAAACCAACTTGTTACTTATTTCTAACTATGTTTCCACTTCTAATTATGACTGTAGCAACTGTCTCCAACAGTTTCTGAGAACAAATCTTACCACAAAGCTTAATCAATATCTGAATGAGGTTAGAATGAGAGAGGTGAAGCTAAAAATTTACCTGGCAAATCTCTTTAACAACTTTCGGTTTAGTGGAACAAGTATCATTCATGAGGTCAACAAAGTTGTTGATAGTGAATGAAGCAGCATCTTTTGTTACATACGCAGCTTCCGCTCGGCTAGTTTCCTCGGGTATCCTTGACTGTCCCAAGTTAAAATCCCATATCTGCAAGAACACGGCCGCACAGGGTAAGAGATCCCTTCATTGTTGGAGCTTCTAGAGAAACCATAAAACCAAACAGAGTGACTATCTTTGTCAATTTTGGGAAACATTCCTCTACCTTACACAACCAATCTCTCACTTAATCTTAACTTGTCACTAAAATGTTCTAAGGCCAAGAATCAAAAGAGAGATTGGATTGCACAAACCTGAGTACTTTGGCCACCACTAGGATTAGCAGCACTCCACAGCAAAGATGTAAACGACGTCGTTGGAGGCTGATGGGTACCTCCTGCTTCGCCGTTGCTCTCCTCCACATCTCTTGTCCATTCCAATCTCTCCGGCATCTCCGGAACCATAATCCCCTCTCCTCCTCCTCTTTCTACCTCTCCATCGCAATCGCCGTCACGGTCACAGTCTCCGTCACCGTCACCATCATCGTCGCCACAACCAACGACACCGCTCCTGAGCAGCTCCTCGAGCTGCTTACACAACACCAGCTTATACCTCCCACAGCTAGAGCTACGCTTCTTAAAGGTCGTCTCTTTGGGGACGGGCACGACCAGTTCCTGTAAAACGTTAGATCCAGAAACCCACGAATCTAGCTGAATCCCAAAATTGTCCATCATCGTCAACGGCACTTGGTTCTCTTCTTTCCTCCCTTCCAGATCGACTCCCCATAAAGCAGCAAGCTCAAGAGCCGATGGACAGCCGGAGAATCCTTCCACGGCGGAGCGGACATGAGCGTCGGATGCGGAGCAGCTCCCGTGCACATCCCAGTCGCATTCCTGACACAAGACGAGGTTGTCGGTGAAGCACTGTACGGAGACTGGCTCGTTGCCGCAATTATCGCAGATCTGGGATCGCACGTGCTTCCTGGAGAGGAGATTCGCCGTGTGCACGTGCTGGTCGCAGGATAAACAGAGCTTGGCCGTATCGGCTCTACAGAACAGAACCGCCGTTCGCTCGCCGCAGAAATCGCACGGGACTCTCTCTGAACTACCCATGAATCCTCCTCAAAAACCCAAAAAGCCCTCTCTAAAAGTTCAATTTAAGAAGAAGAAATTCGAGATTTTTGCAGAAGAGTATGGACGGTGGGAATGTTGATCAAACGAAGAACATGACAAATCCATTTCTCACATTTTCCATTTCGCACCGTTTTTTTTTTTTTTTTTTTGAGGGGCGATTTTGTCAAAATTATCTGCAAATCTATGGAGTAACGAAGACAAAGAAGAAGAAAAAAAAAGGCAAAAGCTGTATTCTCTCAATATTAAATGTAATCTCTAATTATTGTGCCAATTAAAACACTGTAGGGTTTGAAGATGTACTCTTCTGTGCTGCGATCTATGGAATGGACGATTCAGATCGAGAGATGTTCAGATCTAACGGTGTCCTGAGGGAGTCGCCATTATTAAACGGCGAAGCATACGTTGAGGTACTGTAGGTGATAGAGAATCTATGAAAAAAATATCTAATCCACCATCCTTTTATTCTAAAATATCTGTTCTTATCTTTTTTTTAACTCATAAAGGGAAAGTTAGATCAAAGCACATGACTTTTTTAGAATTAGCTCTTTCCCTTAATAGTAATTACTTTTTGTACGCGTGGAGTTTGCGTTAATGTAGTAACGGCTTGAAAATTTTTCTTCTCTCAACAAACATTTCAATCTTCAAGATCATATAACTTTTAGGATACTAGGTGAATACCCGCAGATTACGTGCGGGTTTTTTCTTTTCAATTATTTCAAATTTAAATTTTCATAAAAGTAAATATAATCATCATTTATTAATATATTATTATAAAAAATCATAAAAATCAGTTTAAAATATATATTGAATATTATTAAGTAATCTAGAGTTCTATAAAAATAAAATAAATATTCATCAATAATTTTAATTAATTATAACATAAATTTTTATTTAACATTTACATAAATATTATTGAAGTGTCAATTAATAATAAAAAATAATTTTTAAATAGTTAAAAACTTACACTACAACAATTAAGGTGTGTTGTATCATTTATTATATTTGTTTATATCATTTGAACTTTGCATCATTTATAAAACTAACTCTAGAAGTGGTGACTTTAATATTTGTAGCATTTTTACCGATTGATGTAAATACTTTAATCATTTATAGTAATTGATGCAAATATTTAACATTTATCTCAATTAAAATAAATGATATTATAATTTATTTCGTTTATAATAAATAATTTTATTTAATATAATAATTATATCAGTTACAAATAAGTAATGTTAATATTAATATCATCAGGTAACTAATAATAATTAAATTTATTATTATAAATAATTATTAATGTAATATTAATTAATATTAAATTTATATATAAGTGGACAGGTGTCAATTTCTCCCATGCTGATGTGGTCAAGTTTTATATATAAGAAGATACAAAAACGAATAAAAACGAATAACAAGAGAAATAATAAATGGGCTTGATCTTGAGCTTGGGCTTGGCCTAGGGCCCATAATGGAAGCTTGAAGGAGAGTAGTCGTCGGTAGATTTTAGATTGTTGTCTCTTTTCGCTCCCTTGATTTTTATTTAGAGGGAACGAAAGTCTGATTGAATCCAGAACAACTTGGTTTCGATTTCTGCTTTTACCCGAGTCGCTGGTTTATTCCGGTTGTGGGTTTTTCGTTTATAATAGGGACCGGATTATCCGGCTAAACAACTTGTTGCGAGGAAGAAGAAACCCTAACTCGCCATGGATAAGGAGAGATACTCCAGGAGCAACCGGGACGATCGTGATCGGGATTCGAGTGTGGATCATTCTCCGGAACGTGAAGGCGGACGCCGGCATCATGGTCGTGATCGCGATGGCGATTCGAAGCGTCGTGATTCAGATCACCACCGGTCATCGAGGCGCGACGATAGGGAGGATGAGAGAGATAGGACTAAGGATAGAGCTCGGGACAGGGGGAGATCTGTTGAGCGAAGCGAGAGGGAAGGGAGTAGAGATAGGGAAAAGCATCATGAGAGGTCTCACGAGGTAAGTAAGGAGAAGGAAGCGAGGAGCAAGAGGAAAGAGAGAGAGGAAGAGAATGGGAGTAGAGAGGGGAAGAAGAAATCTAGGTTTTCTGACGGGAATGGTGAGAGGAGGAGCAGGTTTGAGGATTCGGCTATGGAACATGAGAACAAAAATGCTGAAGTAACTGAGGGTTCTGGGGCCATGAACGGAACCAGTGGCGTCCCGATTGTGAGTTTCTTATGCCTATTTCTTCGTTAATCTTCGTTGTTGCAACTGTCTATTTCTACTGTCTTTGTGATTGCTCGAGAAGATTACCTCTAGTCTTCTTGCTAGCTTAGCTTCAGTAGGTTTGCTGTTGGTTTCACTCAGATTTCTCAAAAATATTCAAATGGTGTTTGATATGCTTGTATTTTCTTGTCTCTGTGCAGGGCGCTGCTTCATATGCATCGGAAACTTCTTTGGCCCCTAGTCAAACCCTGCTCACTAAGGTATCTTCGATATCTACAACGGATGAAAATAAGGGAGTTAGTATTGTCAGGTCTCATGAGGTTCCTGGAAAATCTAGTACAGATGGAAGAACATCCTCAACGGCTGGGAAAAGTAGTGCAAAGTTGTCCCTTGATGCACTAGCGAAAGCTAAAAAAACATTACAGATGCAAAAGGGTTTGGTACAGCTGCAAAAGGGACTGGCGGAGAGAATGAAGAATTCTCCTTTGGTAAGATCTGCATATTTTCTGGACATGTGCATTCGTTCTTCTCTTGGAATTTTGTATTTGATTATTTGCTTTCTGTCTTCTCTGTGCAGCCGAAGCAGGGTACTAACTCAACTTCAGAAGGTAGCACGCATACCAGAGGGCCATCATCGACTACCACTCCTGCTGTCTCTGCAGGAACATCTTCTGCTTCGGCACTGCCACATGCTGTCTTTCCTGGCCTTGATAGTATTGCCACCATTGAAGCTGTTAAGCGAGCTCAGGAGCGGGCAGTTAACATGGGTGGCCGCCTGGATCCAGGGTTTGGTCCCCTTATCAATTTATTTCCAGGACAGACACACGCACAGACGCCTGTTCCACAGAAACCGGCGAAGCCCCCTGTTCTGCGTGTGGATGCACTTGGAAGGGAGATTGATGAACATGGAAATGTGATTAGTGTGACTAAACCAAGCAATCTTAGTACATTGAAGGTCGGTGAAGTTAATTTAAATGTCTTAAACTGTCCATATCGTTCTTTTTATGATCGAGCTCCTAATATACTTGGATATTTACAGGTTAACATCAACAAACAGAAGAAGGATGCTTTTCAGATTCTTAAACCTCAGCTGGAAGTAGATCCTGAAGAAAACCCCCATTTTGATCCAAGGATGGGTATTGATAAGAACAAGATTTTGAGACCTAAGCGTATGAGTTTCCAGTTTGTGGAGGAAGGTAAATGGACAAGGGATGCTGAGAATTTGAAGTTAAAGGTATACATTGTCTTTTTTATGGATTCTTTTCAACTATTTCATTCTTGGAGTTCTTTACAGACGTCTCAGTGTGTGTATTTTCTTATCTTTGATTTGTAGAGCCAATTTGGTGAAGCAAAAGCAAGAGAGCTGAAGGTGAAGCAAGCGCATCTGGCAAAGGCAAAGGATGATATAAATCCAAATTTGATAGAGGTATCCGAACGTGCCCCAAGAAAAGAGAAGCCCAAGGAGCCAATCCCGGATGTTGAGTGGTGGTACGTAATTTTACTCACCTTGCCTTTTATTGCTAATGCTGATTTGTTTTGTTTCAAATGTTTATCTGATTTGACGTTTACATGGCATAACCTTGAGAAAAACAAGTGACTACAATTATCAAACTAAACATGTAACTTTTAGGGTAGTAAATGAAAGTGATGAATCACCAGAACAATAACTTGGCAGTTTTGGGCCACGGGTGATCTTACTGTTCCGTGTCGTATTCATGTTGGTTTAGGGTCATTTGTTTGTTTTTTGAATTATTCTCTCATTTTTCTAGTCGGGATATGTATAACTAACATCGCAGTTGTTGATTTCTGGTGGCATATGTGCTCAGTAGTTTGCTGCATATTGCCTTTGAAAGTTTATTGATTTTGTGATCAGCATTCTGTGTGATTCCTGGTAGAATATGGTGACAATGAATTGACTTATAAGCCGGAACCACTTGTGCAGACCAAATATTGAATCTAGCTACTTTGTGCTACTGTTTTATGCAACTTGTCAGTTTTGGTGGTTTCTCATGTCGTCTTGGTCTCTTTTCTCTCTATATGTTCATGATATCGGGTTTCATTAGCTCATACTTTTATTTTCTGATTTCAGGGATGCGAATGTCCTCATCAAAGGCGAATATGGCGACATAGCTGATGGGGCAATTACCGATAGCGATCTGAAGATAGAAAAACTCACTCATTACATTGAGCATCCCCGTCCGATAGAGCCACCTGCAGAGGCAGCGCCTCCACCACCCCAACCTCTGAAACTGACAAAGAGGGAACAGAAGAAACTGCGAACCCAGAGGCGTCTAGCAAAAGAAAAGGAGAAACAGGAGATGATCAGACAAGGGTTGCTTGAACCACCAAAAGCGAAGGTGAAAATGAGCAACCTAATGAAGGTTCTCGGGGCTGAAGCAACCCAGGACCCAACGAAGCTAGAAAAAGAGATCCGCACAGCAGCAGCCGAGCGTGAACAGGCTCACACGGACAGGAACGCAGCAAGGAAGCTTACTCCTGCAGAGAAACGTGAGAAGAAAGAGAGGAAGCTGTTCGACGATCCAACAACGGTTGAGACGATTGTATCAGTGTACAAGATCAACAAGCTATCGCATCCTAAGGCAAGATTCAAAGTGGAGATGAATGCAAGACAGAACAAACTAACAGGGTGCAGTGTGATGACGGATGGGATGAGTGTGGTTGTGGTTGAAGGTAAGAGCAAAGCGATAAAGAGATACGGGAAGCTGATGCTGAGTCGAATAAACTGGGAAGAGGCGGTGAAGAAGGAAGGTGAGGAAGGAGAAGAAGAAGATGAAGACGGAGAGGAGAATGGTGGGAACAACAAGTGTTGGTTGGTTTGGCAAGGAAGTGTCGCGAAACCGAGTTTCCATAGGTTTCATGTACAAGAGTGCTTGACCGAATCTGCTGCCAAGAAAGTTTTCACGGATGCTGGTGTTGCTCACTACTGGGATCTCGCTCTCAATTACACAGAAGACTAAAATCATCCTCTTCCTCATATTTTGTCAAGCTACTACTTCAGCGCTGGAGAGTGTCACGTATCATTTTGAGTTTTTTTTTTTTTTAAAGAAAAAAATTCAGTTGAAAACATTAAGTCTTCTCTATTGAAACCATATACCCATCAGTTAATGTCATCATGAAAGTGCATAAAATGAAGGGACTCAATAGTTTTTACTGAAACGTTACATTTTTAAGAAAACTTTGGTGTGTGAATGATAATTATGAGTTTCCCTTGTATTTATTAGGAACATTTTTAAGAAGGAAAAAAAATATAAATATTTTAGCCACTAATGGAGACCATGATTATTATCTTGTCACGCGCACGGCCCGCGAGTGTAGAAGTGATCATATGTTCGACTACACGGGCGTGCGACAAAATGCGAGGCTCAGTGGTCATTGCGCGGTTGACATACCGAAATTACCCTTAAAGTCTTGTTTTTTCCCATAATTAAATAGTGTTCCTTGGTTTTTGTTTTCTACCTTAAAAATCCCTTAAAAAATTCTCTCTTTCTCGTTTCTTATTCTTCCTCCTCCTCCTCTGCTTTGGAAACATTCCGGCGAGTTCGACGAAAACAAAAAGAGAAGATAAAAATGGCGGCACTAGACATGGCGAAGATAACGGAATATCTGGAGAGATCGATGCAGAAGAATTGTTCAATGAGTAAGCAGGGAAGGAGGAGTGTCGTCGGAGATGGGCTTGGTATGACCGACGAGAGCGACGATCATATCCCGATCTCAGATAGAAACTTGGAGCTCAATTCTCACATCTCTATTCCTTCTCATTTGGAACAGTGTCTTGATCTCAAGGTAAACAAACCAGATTCCTCTTCTTCTTCTTTTTTTTTTTCCTTTTTTTTTTTTTGCTGGGTTTAACTATTCTTGGCAAGAACTTCGAATTTGTGTCGTTTTTGTGTTGGGGATCGCATTTACTGCGAGAATAAGGAGAATCATTTGCTCATTTATGGGAGGAAAATAGCTTCTTTTTGTTTCCTTATAAATTGATTTTCCCTTTTTTTTGTTGTTGTTGTTTACTTGTGTTGCATTTATTGCTTCTATAATGCTCTTGTGTCTATTGTCTATAATGCTCACAAGGTTTGGTTTAAAGGTTAATTTTAATAACCAGAAGAGAAACCCTAACTGACATTTCAGTTTGTTTCTTTCGGTGGAAAGAATTTATTTGGCTTGACTTTGAGATTTTCGGATTTGGAATGCATACAAGCTTTGTTTCTAATCGAATCTCCTGGATGATTTTCTTTATTGGAACAAATGTTTTCCAAATATACATAAGGTATAGAGTGATTTACATTTAAAAATCTAGCTCAAGTTGTTTTTGTCTCAGGACTTGGGTTGCATTTTTGCATTACAATGCGAACAAAGAAAACAGAATCGTTCTGTCTCCTCTTTATTCTTTCTTGCAAGAGTAAAAAAAAATAAAACTTTACTTCTGGTGATTAGGCGATTAGCCTTATAATAAGCATTAAAGGAGTTGAAAGTTTTATTACTTTTGGATTGAAATCTTGGAGGTGGGTTTTTGTTTTAGACAGGAGAGATTTACTACATAAACTCGAACAATGGAATGAGAGTGAAGGAAGATCCGAGGACATTAGTAAGCAACAACAATGCAGATAAATTGACATTGGTGAGCAACAACAATGCAGATGAATTCAGTGAAGAATCGGATATATCTGTGTTTTCAGAAGAAGATAGCTCGTATTATGAAAGCGAAGAATCTTCATCAGAGTCATCAAGAGAGAATCACAAAGAAGAAGAAGAAGTTCTGGTGGTAGCTGGTTGCAAAGCTTGCTTCATGTATTTGATGGTCCCTAAACTCTTAAAGGAATGCCCCAAATGTTCAGCACAGCTTCTCCACTTTGATCGATCTCACTCTGCTTCTCCTTAATTAACAACCTCTTTCTTTGTTGTTTGTTTTTCTTTCTTTCTCATGTTCATCTCTCTTCAAATAGTTATGTAGGTTTCCTATCATTTCTTCCTCTTCTTTTTATCTCTTAAATCGTATATGTATAAACTATTGGTCGTGTTGTGTCTGAGTGGCATTAACACGAGATTTGATGGCAATGTTTCAAACAGAAAAAAAAAACTAAAAAACAGAAGTAAGTGTTGTTAACTTGTTATTGATGAAAGTGATGGGCAATGAAGGAAAAGCGTGCTGAGAGATTGGAGGGAGTAGCCTATTTTGGACAGTTGTTGCATTAAAGTTGGTCAATGAAGATAAGAGCCCTTCGGACTCGCGCGCGGAAAGAAAGAAACTAAAAAAAAATTACAAAGAGCATAATGATTGCAGCATGTGAATACCACATTTTCTGGTTCTTTTGTTTCCCACATTTTCCCCTCTTTAGTTTTGACCAAAATACTAAAATGAAGTTATGCTACAACAATTAAGATCGAACTTTCAATGTACTTTTGAGTTTTGATCTTCTCATATATATCGAATAAAGCACCTAATTCCTAAATATGTAGTATTCTTATAGCAAATGTTTCGAGCAAATTTATCTCAATAGTTTTAGCAACATGTATTTTCTCCGTTTTTATAGAGGTGATGTTTCGAAGATATTTTTTTCAATAGTTTTTTCATAATTTTTTTATTAACACTGTTAGTAAAAATTAATTAAAACATACGAGTTTATTAAATGAAGTAATTCCATTTTTGTGGGGAGTTTTAAAAAGTAAGAAGTCTCGAAAGACATGAACGTAAATTACTTAGTATTATCAGTTCGGTATTAATGCAAGCAATCAACGGAGAATTATCATCATATATACTAATGAGGTTTACTACCGTCACATTAAATGCTTGATAATAGAAAAAAGGTCAACTTATGAGCTAATTTCAACTCTCGGACATCTGTGTATACAATTACACTTATTTATTACTCTTTCTGTTCAGAATTATTTGATGTTTTATGAGGTTTTTTTTTTCAGAATTATTTGATGTTCTCACTTTTCAATGTAAAATTTAATGAATTTTTATTGTTTTCGACTTTTTATATTTTACAAATTGTTTTTTATTGGCTGAATAATATTTAAATGAATTATAGATAATGTTTTTAGTGTAGAAAAAATAAATATTAAATGCATCCTTAATCTGTATGCAAAAACCTTAAACATCAATTAATTCTAAACAGAGGAAATAGCTTATTTTGTTAAAAGTATATTTATGGTTAATGGGTTGACTTATCTGTTTTGTTAGCTCCTTCCACCTTTAAACAAAGGAGAGAGGGAGGGTAATTTTGGTGAATGTTTTCACGTTTTTCTTCATTACAGAAAATAAAGGACTATTCTTCATTTTTCCCTTGGAAATAAATGAAAGCATAGTTTTAATACTTACCTAGGAACATATAAATTAATAAATGCATTTTAAGTATCTATATCTCTAAATACCAAGCAAATTTGCGCTACCTTGCTCTTTTCTTGCATCTCTTTTACTACGTCACTCACGTCTTCTGTTTCTTTTATTTTCTTTTTGCGACGTGAAGGCACTACGTCAGGCTTTGTTGAAGGTGAACTCGTGTGTCGGTGTGTGCATCACATACTCGGGAGGATGATGGAAATTGTGTCAAAATAGACAACAAACTCGATCGCACAATTGAGGAACATAACACAATTAGAGACTTGGGCCCAAATATTATAATGGACCTGGTCAACAAAATCAGTAGCGATCGAAATGTTGGCCTAGTTTGTGTGCACCGGTGTGTGAAAAAGTACAAAACGAGCATATATATGTTAAACAATTTTAAAATACAAAAAATAAATTTTGTTCTTCGATTCCTATTTCTTTTCTGTTCTTCATTCTTTATTTCGTTTTTTTTTTCGACTAAAGGTTTTGTTCTTCATTGGTTTATCAATCTCTTTTTCATGGTATCGAAGCTATGGAGAGAACTCATATTTTGTTAAAATATAAAGCTATATATATTATATTATCATATCACAATCTGAGTGCTTTTACCAAGTGAAAAGACAATACTGCACCTAAATGAGTACATTATTCCGATCGCATCTAATATGCATGCTAAAAAAGGTTCTTTACTATACATTTATGATTTATCTTTAGTCTGATTTACAACCTCTTTCTTATATTCATACACTAAATTAGCAAGATTTCTTAACAGAATACTCAATCAACTGCCACCACATCACCATTTCGTCAAACATTTGTAACTATTTCGAGAGAATTTTCTTGAAATATTCTTCTAAAATCATTTAAACTGCTAAGTTAGCATATCACCATATCACTGGTCAAGTGCATTCAGCATTGGTGGTCCCATTGCCAATTTGCCATCACATAACACATCCACAAAGGGATGGGGTTAGATAACCTATTTCATGTCATTTACTCAAATATTACTTCACATAATATGACATAATTTGTTTCAATCATGCGCAGAAAAAAAAAATACAATTTATTATTAATCGCTATGCCGTCGCAGTTTGTGTTTGCCATGCATCTTGGATATGCATATAGTATAGCAAAATTTTCCTTTAAAATCACCTCTTTTCTCACCGCCAAAACTCAAACTCGTTGCTTCAAACAACTCGTCTTTTAGGACTCCGTTATTGTCATCTTTTTTATCGACCACTATAGACTATTTTTTTGTGGTTTAAGGATAGCCGTATACAAGTCCGTTCGATATGTGTAACCAAAAGCCTTGCATAATACTTAATCGAAGGTAAAAGAAGTGCCAGCAGCACCAACGACTACACACAACTATAGACAACTTATATGAAAGATGTAAGGATATTAACAGAAAAACTGTTAAAAAAAATAACAATATAGACCCCTTCTATGAAAGATGCAAGGATATTAACAAAAAAACTGTAAAACAAAAAACGAAAAAATGTAGTAAAGAGTATATATGTTAGAGGAATTGTGGGGGTCACATGGAGTTCAGAGAAAGAGCAGAAGAGTCCCCACGTCGTCTGTGGTTTGGGTCCTCGGGCTCTGGTGATACCAAACACCATCATGCATGCCCAACTCTCTTTTTCATTATTTTTTTCTTTCTTTTTTGGGTTTTTTTATTTTACCATTTTTAGGGTTTTCTTTTGTATATTCATGTCCTCCTACAACCATCGAATATAAAACCCACATTTTCCCCCCCTATATATATAAATAAATAAAAAAGAATACATGCTTTACCAATTTCTACTCCTACTTTATTTTTCCTTACATCATTTCTTTATTATTAGCCTTTCATTCTTTCTTCACGCTCCCTTTTATGGTTTCCTTTTAGTTTGATTCAACTTCCCATCATGCATGTATACATATTTTATTGTATGTAATATTCCAAGTAATCTATCTTATTATTGACATTTTGCCAGATATTGTCATCATATTCCTCTCCACTCTCTGCCCATTCCACTTGCCTCATTTCTAATCTAGAAACTATATTTTATTATTTGATCAACTCACTCATGCACCCTTTCTGTAATTAAGTGCAACCATAGTACTTCATTTTTCCTACATTTCTTTTTTTTTTTCTTACAACAATAAACGAGATTCACGTACCTTTATTTACACATTACTAATTTACTATACCAAAACCATCAATCGCTAGATAAGTAATTTCACAGTAAGAAAGAAAGTAAAGAAAAAGAAAAAAAAAAACGCTAACAATCTAACACCCACTAGCCTAGATATTCACAAATTCTTTTGTTACGGTTGATACAGATGATTAACTTATGATGCTATTTTCGTAAGACTTTAACGAAAAGATAAAGTTGTAAGACTGTTAAAATATTTTAGGAAATGAGTGATTTTTATAGAAAACAAAAAGGACTTCGCAATGATCGTAATTGAAGATTAAATTAGCTGACGATCATTACGAAACAAATGGATCTTGACATATATATGATATTTTTTTTTACATGTATGCGAAACCATATGGTTTTCACTTTTTCATGATATATTCGAGAACTTCTGTGCACAACTAAAAGTGAACCAGTAACAATTGCTTTTACTACTTTTTGAGACGAAATTTATATCGAAGCTATAGAAGAACGTCGATGACCTCTACTAGATCGCCAAATAAATTGACTGAATATTATCAAAACTATATTAAAAACATGGATTATAGTCTCAATACTCTAAACATATACAATGAAGAATCAAATTTGATAATTAAGGCCACATCCGTAAATAGTTTTTGTACTTTTCTAAAAAATATAAATATTTGTTATTACATTTAATTAAAAGAGAAAACTAAATTGGAAGAGATAATTACAAACTCATTACAGCTAAATAAAATATATCCCAAAAAATCCCATAAAAAGCAACACATTAGGGCTAAAAATAAACTTTATAAGGATATTAGTAATTTAACTTCATGGAAAACAAATAAATAACTTTGGCTGTCAATTTTTTTATCCTCGGAACATGGCCTGAAAAAGCGATTAGCTGGATCGATCACACCCCATTTCATCCTTTTCCTCGCATAGGCATACCTTTCGTCCTTTTAAAGTCAATAAAACCCAAATAAACTTTTACAGAAAACAATTAATATTGTTTAATCATTTTGAGTAAGAAAAAGAAAAAGTGTAGTCCTAAATTTTATAAGCTTTTACATTACGTATATATGATCTCTACGTACATGAAAAAAATTCATAATTTCAGATATTTTTATTGAATTTAAGTCTGACAGACAGAGAGACCATCACATTCCTCTCTCTCTTTCTTACATTCCCACAAGCTTCCAAACAAAGAGAATTAATGGAAAGTAAGATTTGCAAAGGAATAATTCTCTTCCTCGTCCTCTCTCACTCACAACCCTACACGCATATAAACTATTTGTAACCAAAAAGAAAAAAGAAAGAAATAAATAAACAAAACCCTTATCTTCTTCGTGAGAATCATTTCCTCTCCACAAAACCATGCCTTCTCTAAGCCCTCTTCTCACTTTTTCAACAATCCCTCCATATATCGGCTCATGCTGAGATCAAATGACCAATATGGTTCCTCTTGAATCCTCACCGCGTTTTGGCGTTTTCAGTTACGGCGGTTGCAGCGGCGGCAGAGGCGGTTTCACGGAGGCGATGATGATCAGAGAAGCAACAATAAACAATCAAGATTCTAGTGGAGAAACATGCTCCGTCTCCGATCCAACAGCAGCTTCTACTAACTATCATAACATCTCTTCCCCTCTGGCCAACAAAGACGACCGGTCCGGCTCAAAGAACGACGACGTCGTTTCTTGTATCAATAAAGAAGATGGTAACAAAGACAAATCTTGGCTCCGCTTAGGTATAGGCCCTGAGGAGGAGAATAACAACACGGCGTCGTATAAGGTCCAACGTTGTTGTAGCAAGAACGCAAGTGGAAGAGAAACTTCGTTAGAGCTCAGTTTGTTCTCCTCAACTTTAACCGCGGCAGGAGCGGTTAGTAGTAGTGAAGATCACCCGCAACCGCAGCAACCGCCGCAGCCGCCATATTCGCATGACCAATTGCTGACGATGCGTGGAGCGTCGTTGGTTTACAATCACCAGTTTATTCGGCCTCAAACGCTATTAAATCGCGGTTTTTCGTTTCCATCTTCAAAGCCGTGGATACCTCAATACACGGCACCATTTAGACCGTCATCATTAGGAATGATGAGTGAGCGTGACGTCACTAATAATAATAGTGTTACAAGTAGTTGCTATGTGGAGGAGGGAGGGGCTGGACCAAGCTCGGAGTTTAGGGTTCTTGATCCTCCAAGAAGACCACATTCTGGTCTTTGGTTTCTTCTTCAGGCTTCACAATTCCAGTAATTATAAAGAACTCTCCTACTGTTTCTTTATCTATTCATGTTAGTATGTAACACATGGGAGTCCATTGTATAGTTTATAACATTGGATTTGTGAAACGCAGGGAAAAGGAACCGTTCTTGCCTCAAGTAAACAAAAGCTACTTGAGAATCAAGTAACTCTTTTTTTTTTGTCTTATTGAAACTTATTTCTTTAGATAGGGAAGTTACTAACGATTACTTCTGTTATATTTTAACTTGCAATTTTGTTTTGAATTTGCATGGATAAGGGATGGGAGAATCACAGTTAGATTACTAACTAAGTACCTTATGAAGAAGCTTCAATTGGATAGCGAATCTGAGGTAAATATCTAAAACTCCAACTGTTTTATATGTATGTTTTTTTAATCTTCTAAGATTTTTGGATATATATATATATATATATATATAGATATAAAATGAAAATGACATTGGAACTAAATCCCCAACTTAATTAGGTCACACGTCTTGATGTCATGGTGTCGTAATGTCTATAATTTAGTTCAATTAAACCTAAGTTATAGGTATACAATTGTAGTAATAGAGGTGAGTAAAACCACTTTCTGAATACTGAGAGTTACACGAGATCCTTAATTAGGTGCAAATCTAATTAATACTCATGAATAACCTAGGGCTCGGATTTATGAATTCGATTCCTTCCGTGTTCAACTTCATTCAAACAATTTCAAACGAATTATTCATAAGTTTTGGTTTTCATGATTCACCAAATTATTTGCTCATAAGTAACTCTCTAATAAGAATTTTGATTACCCTAAAATTAGCCTATCTCATTTGAAAACTACAAGAAAAAAATACTGGTTAATTAGGTTTTTGATTGATCGTTTCTCGAAGAACCCACCACCTTATCAATAATTATTATCATTATTGTTGTTATATAATTTATTCTCATAGGAAACTGGAAAACGAGAGGGGAACTATAACTGGCCTTTTCATTAGTTTCAGGCCATAATATAGTTTATATTAACTATAATAATTTATAAAAAAAAAAATTTATAATAATGTTATTTTTGGAACAAAACAAGTCTGAGTCATCAGGCATGCTTGCTTTGAGAATAGTAGAAAACCAGAAAAAGAAAGGATATCTTAATCCAACCTCAAAAAGCTTACATGCGTATTAGTGTGTGTAGATGCTCTCGTTAATTAGAATTTACATTAATCTAAGTATATTGCATGTTCCTATGGAGTCTAGATAGGCTCACAAATACATGTTCATGCGATATGAAGTCTTGTGCCCTACAAGAATCAACTGCATGTATAGGGGTGTGTGTGTGTGTACACACACATATATAGTATAGTGTATCCAATATAACCAGTTTTAGAAAAGCGCGGCCGTTTAGACATTAATTAGGTGGTGACAAACAAATTTCAAATTTCGCCATAATTGAATGACCAGTTAATTATTCTCAGCTAATATCCGATTGATAGATTAGTGCTTGCTAATTATTATAAACTTAATTTCATTTTACGTAACCAAATTATAATGTCTAATAAATGGCTAAGGCTTTCTAAAACATTAAACACATTATCGTCTCTAATCATTCTTTTAGACGTGGTGATAATAACGGTCAAATCTTATTAAAACTTAAGTTATGTTAGTTCATAAAAATTATGTATGAAAAAGTTGGGTTTCACGAAAATATGAATAACCATGAAAAATCTAGTTTTCCGTTTAAGGCAACAAGTTCCCTCATGGTTTTGCTTATTTTATTGAGAGCATGCACATCGTCACAAGAATATATTGATATTTGGTCAGTCTAGTAATGCATTATGAATATAGCATTGTTATTGTATATTGATATTTAATTTGATACGTTAACTATAGCACCATGATAGACAAATGGGTGACATGTAATATTCTTATACAAATAATCATTTGATGAAAAACGTGATTTGAAAGCATTGATGCATGCATGGCTAACTTTGTCTTTTCCATCAACCCAAAAAAATGTCTTTCCCACTCAAAAGCATATCCCTAATAAATCTTTGCATAGTTTAATACTTTCCCTAGTCAGTTGATTGGTTGATACTCCATTTAAAAGTCAATCCTAATCGAAAGTCATGCATTTTCGACAGTTTATATATTCTAACTAAATGTTGGTAATTAGATGTGTATATAAGTGAATCAAAGCTTTGAGATTTTCCGTTAGATATAAACTTTTTTACAAAATATATTTCCTCCGACTATTTTAATTACATACACACGAATTCAAATTCTATGAAAATTGTGTATGTGTTAATTGTATCACATATATAATCCATACATCTTTTCAGTGGCGGCCACATGCATTAAGCATGGGTCGCCCCCAACCAATTTTCAAAACTTGATATAATTTAGTAGTGTTCTATTAATGCCCCCATTTATTAAATTATTTATATTTTTATATGTTCCCAGTCAAAAAAATTTCTGGCTCCGCCACTACATCTTCTCTCTGATTACTGCAGAATCCACATGTAATGACTAAAGAGGTTATACATCTCGTAATATAACAACAAATAGATATTCACTAATACCTAAGAACAATGCACAAGTGTTTCCTTTTTGCTTGTATTCATAGGTAAGAGATATCTTTAAACACCTAAAATCAGAGACCATTTCAAAAACCTGAAAACCATTATGAATTCATAATAAATTACTTAATTAATAAAAAGAAGAAACTTTTTTTGCTTTTATCTTAAATTATAATAAACCCTAAAAACAATCACACCTCTAAAAGATTCCTGAATCTACTACATCTGAAAACACAAGATTATCCTATAGTGATGAAAGATTTTCCCTGAATAACAAAAGCTATAGTGGATTAGCTCCGATGAACAGAAAAGGTAGATAATGATAACTATATATGCTATTGGCTTAAAATAGAACATGCCATCTAAATTTTCGTCTAGTAACACCGTCGTAGATTTGGTTTATATATGTACGAGTATGTTATGAGCTACTCAACAACGTGTTTTGAAAATAGTTAATATCACTAGTACTAGAGGGAGTCTATATATCGGCTTCAGAAAATATCCATATTTTTCCTCACATGGCTTAAATTTATATAGTGAAGTCGATCTTTTCTTTTTGGTAGCCGTTTCTAGAGAAATTCATTAGTTAGGTTAATTTAACGTTAAAATAATTTTGTTACCTCTTAAACCAAAAAATCTTTAAAAGTTGTGGGGAAACCTAACCTTGTCGTCACGCTTATGGCTTGCTAAGGTCAGCTATTTTCTTATTTCTCGTCGAATAGCATATATATATAATTGTTTAATCTCATATAGGTTTTTAAATAGGGGGCTTGACGTTACGTGCAAGATGTCGCATCATAATCCAAGTGGTGCACTTTCATGAATTTTGAAATAACTTGATCATCTCCTCACCAACCAATCACGTTCCTACAATAGAACACAAAACAACGTATTTTAAAATAAAGAGATCTAAAAAAGTAGCTTTGAACGCTTGACAGTTCAACAGCAGAATAATACAAAACTTTATCTCTGATAACAAAAAAAAAAACTTGCATATTTATTGGATGAATTAAGCTATAATTTATAAATCTTGGTGTCATTTCATTTTGTTTTCTTTAAAATTTCTAATCTCAAGAAATTTTGAAGCATACGATTCAACTATAATATACAAACTATGTATAAAAAAAATGAAGCATATAATAAGAATCATAGTCGGTAGAGCTTAACCGGTTGAATCCAAAGTCAGATTTTGGAAAAGTCGAATCATGTCTATAGTTTGAGCACTGACTGCGGGAAAGAGATCAATTAATCCATTATGGTTCGCAACCCGAAATTTTTTTATGAGTTTAGGAGCAGAATTTCTCGATTATATATAAAGAAATCTTTTATATATCAAAATAAAACATTATAATTCAATATTATTGTTTTCATGAGTTTGGGGCGCGATCAATATATTTCAAATTTTTTAAGATAATAATTTTTGCTCGATTACTATTTCAAATGTAGACACCACATCGTGGAATTTTGAATAATTTTGCATTTTACATTACGGGGAAAATCTAAGTATAGGCCCGTTATGATTAAAAGTCGGGCAGGTTTTTACACCGTCGTGTCATTAGTTAGACCGCCTCAAGTAGTCTCTCGGAGTTGACCAGATTTTGGTTTCTCTTTTCTTCTTTAGTGACATTTTTTTTTGAACTTGAATGAATTATATACTTTACCTTTTAGTGTCAGCTGACCAGATTTTGTTTATATATGTTTAATATGTTTTATTTATTTATTATTATTTTTTTTTAAAAAAAAACATATTTATGTTTAATATGTTTTATTTTCTCGTTACACTTCGTATCTTTGGCGTCAAGTCGAGGTAAAGTACGGAGTTTAGGGGCATACGTTACATTAACTACGAAAACAAATAAGCATGCGTTTCTTCAATAAAGACAATTAAAAAAACACTTTAGATAAAGTTAAGTTGTTATAGTTTTTTTGTTGATTTTTTTTTTCTGGCTTTTAGTAAAAAAATATGTGTCTTAGCAACATCAAGCTAACGGAAAAGAAACCCAAAAGCAAAAATTTTCAAAGAAGCATATCCACCGGTTATCTAACTAACCGATCAACTTTGCAGATGATCATGTCATATATGTACTCTAACCTTTTAGTATCTCATGTTTAACACACACGAGCACATCTGCACAAATATGGGATATTTATGCGATGTTGACTCCTTTTGGTTTGTTTGATGCATGGATGCAAATGGAAATAGATAGAGATAAGGTGCAGAGGACAACAATTATCGCCGTTGTTGACGATGCAACAAGTAAGAGATACAATATGGAGTCCAACAAAATCATCATTACCATCATCATCTCCCTCTTTCATTTTGCTTCGGGATTCATCAACTAGTGATCATGTCATGATTTTGCATTATGGTAGGACTGCTTAATGTTTTATTTATTTAATAGTTTTTTTTCCTCTACGTGTAACATTTTTTTTTCGATCATTGTGTACCTATCGAGTTTTAAATATAGTTCCCTCTTTTTTTTTTTTTTTTTTTTTCTGGCCCACATAAGAGCTCATCTTGTCCCATTGTAGGGAAGTGGAATCTGAACTCTAAATGGCGTACGTACGAGCCAGCCAACTAACTGCTCTGACTACTCACCTATAAGCCCTAGTCACGTTGTTATTACCTTAGGTTCCCATATTTGTTTTGTTCAACTGTCATGATAAGATTTTTGTTTTTGGTTAAAACTGTCATGATAAGTTTCTAGCTTTTTATAAATATCTGTAATATTTGGAGATTAGGAAAGTAGTCTATGTTAATTTGTTTTTCTACATCCAAACACATAAATAATGGAGAACCACAACATCATTCCTTCGTTATACTTGTTGTCTCCTGTGTTTCTAATTGAACTGATTTGGTTTCATACATTCTTGTCGATTTTTATTATTTTATTTTAAAAATATATATTTAGTTAATACCTGAATCTAATTTGAAACCAAAAAAATTATCAACCTGATCCATACTCCATTGATTTCAGTTTGGTAACAATTTTTAAAATCGAAAATCCAAAAACCTGAAATTGTAAAACGCTAATTTGTCTCTACGGTTATGATTATCTATACCTTGGGCTTTTTATGAAATTAACGGGCCTACTAACTAAATCAATCTAATGATGGGTTTTAAAGGCCCATATCGTTTTTTTTCTTCTCTCCCAAAGGCATCTCCTTGAGATCCATGCCTCTGAGATTCCGATATGTTGCTTCTTCTTCTCCGACTCGTAATGCCGTGATATGTTGAATAAGCTTACTACAATGGCGTACGGCTCTTTTGGTGTCTCATCGAGAGCTCTAATCTTTTGCCGTCCTTGTTATGGCTCCATTAGAGATCTCCCCTTCTCCCTCCGAACGCCTACAGTTTCGTCTCCATCTCTCTTCTTATCGAATTTTTTTTCTTCAGTTCCATGTCTAACCAACCATTAAAAACGACCTGAAAATGGGGAAAATTTCAGATTGGGCATTGCGGATGCGTTGGAGCTATCGCAGCTCCTAGAAATCTGGTGAAACCACGCAAGGAAGAAAGCCGTGGTGATTATCATTTCTCTGTAAAATTCTGATTCAATTTAACTTTATCAGAAACCAAAAGTTTGATTCTTACGAAGCGGGAATTCATGTGTTGTTGTTGATTCTCATGTTAAACGATGGAAGATTTTAATGGCGCTCGGAGGAGTAAGGATAAATCGATGCCGTTTAAGAAGTTAGATGCTAATGAGTTTGGTATACAGAGGTCCATGATCCCTGAATCTACACGGATGGTTCTCAATAAGCTGAGGAAAAAAGGTATTTTACTTCTTTGTGAAGTCTAGTGTAAAGCTTACGTAGGCTTTGAGTGAGGAACTTGTGTTTGTGTTTGTGCTTTTGTAGCCTGAAAATTTGTGCGTTTCGTAGCTTTAGTATGTGGAACCTATCAAGTCTCAAGCTTTTAGGTTGCTGAATTCAAATTTTTATTTATCCTGAGTAATGTTTGGGGAACACTAGCTCTAGGCTTTCTTCAATGAGCTACATTTTCGACAAGATCCTTATTTCTCTGAAAATGCTATGATGTTCCTTTTATCGCCAAGACCCTTGTTTCAATGAGCTACATTTTCGCCAAGATCCTTATTTCTCTGAAATATCCTATGATGCTCCAGGTTTTCAAGTTTACCTAGTTGGAGGCTGTGTTCGGGATCTTATACTAGATAGAATCCCCAAGGATTTTGATGTTATCACTTCAGCCGAACTCACTGAGGTTTAAATTCAGCCTATGGAACTACATCCTTTTTAAAATATACCAAGTCCCCTTCTTGTCTTTCCTTCACTTAATTTGTGAATCATCGCTGTGAGTACAGGTACGGAAAGTATTTCCCCGTTGTCAAATCGTTGGAAGACGGTTTCCTATCTGTCATGTTTATGTCGACGATATTATTATAGAGGTTTGTTCAAGATTTCTCTCATTCACATGTATTTATGTCATATCAACCTATCATTTAAGTACGCTTAAACTTAAAGTTGGGTTCTTTGATTATTCTTAATCGGAAAGAACACTTTCTCTTATCTATCTTTCTCTCACGTTCATAAAATTCTGTCCCAAGGCTTAATGGAGTTGTTCTGTTGTAACAGGTATCAAGTTTTAGTACTTCAGCAAGAACTGGTAAAGCGCCGAATAAAAACTTCAGAAAGCCTGCGGGCTGCAATGACCGTGATTATATCCGTTGGAAGAATTGCTTACAGCGTGATTTTACAGTTAACGGGTAGGCACTATCACTATTTATCTCACATTTATTTGTGAAAGTGAATCCATATGCAGCATGCATTAACATTCATAAGTTGGATTTTTCAGGTTGATGTTTGATCCATTGGAGAATGTGGTGTATGACTATATAGGAGGAGTTGAAGATATAAGGAATTCTAAAGTAGGCTTTGCAATTTAAGCTATCAGTTTTTTTTTTTTATAGAAACCAGTTGACATGTGAGTGAATTGGTATGAGTCCTAATCAGTCTATTATTCTTTAGGTGAGGACAGTATCCTCAGCGAAGCTTTCATTTATCGAGGATAAAGGTCAGTTGCAGATGCAATGATGTTGTCATTGGTATGAAATCTATTTGTTTGGAAAGGCTTCAAAAGAAGGTAACGGTGTTCACTTTACAGCTCGCATTTTACGTGCAATTAGGATTGCAGCGAGGTTAGGATTCAGCTTGACTAAAGAGGTTGCTGTTTCTGTGAAGGAGCTTTCCTCTTCATTGCTGAGACTTGACCCTGTATATCTCTTTCCCTTCTCTTGTTCTCCCTACTTTACCTTTTTCCTCATTAGGTTAGAAGTGAGCAGCTTTTCTGCTTTTCTGATAATTCTGCAGTCAAGGGTCCAGATGGAAATCAATTATATGCTTGCGTATGGGTCAGCAGAAGCTTCTTTACGATTATTATGGAGATTTGGGCTCATGGAAATTCTTCTACCTATCCAGGTATGGAGAATCTTCTCTAGCAGTGTGGTGTTATGTAGTGCGTATCTAGTGTTTTTCATAGTTTGTCTAAATCGCTTATCTATTTGCAGGCATCATATTTTGTTTCTCAAGGGTTCCGGAGGCGTGATGGAAGGTCCAACATGCTTCTGGTACATGATTCTGCTTTCCCAAATTAGACATGGCAACTTTCTTTCTAGTATAATTAGTAAACACTAGGGACTGCAATAAACGGCTCCATAGAGCTAACCGATCAAAGTCTCTCCCTTGTAGTCGATGTTTCGCAATCTTGACCGACTTGTAGCACCTGATCGACCATGCAACGAGTTCCTCTGGTGAGAAATCTCCTTTTTGTGAATCTGTTTTAGTAAATGGTTTTGCCAAGTTAACAATTTTGGCAACTAACAGGATTGGGATCTTGGCATTGCACAAAGCATTGGTGGATCAGCCTAGGGATCCAACGGTAGTAGCTTCCTACTGTCTTGCCATATACAGCGAAGTATCTTTATCCGAAGCCATAGAGATTGCAAAGAGCAACTCCAAACAGCACAACTCAAACTTCCAAGAACTGTCCGGTCATGAAAAAGACACTGTTGACTCAGACAGCAAATTATCGAAACAGGTCATGAGCTTAGCAGAGTCTATAAAATCAGCTGCGAGAAAGATGAATGACCGGGACTACTTAGCTAACGCAATGAGCAAATACCCGCAAGCACCTAGCTCGGATATGGTACACACACACTTGAGAGTAAAAACATTTGGAATCAGTCATAATGAACTGAACTTGTTTTTCATGAGGGCTTTATTTGTTGTTTTCAGGTGTTCATGTCAAAACTAATGTTGGAGAGAGTGCAGAAAATGTTTGGAAGTGTGAGAAGAAGAGGAAACGAAGAGAGAGGTGTGCCAAGTTTAGACCGTAGGATAAACTACAAGTCTCTTGCTCTTGGGGACTTTCACGAGACTCGTCGTGTATTTGCTAGGATTGTTTTTGATACCGTTTACCCTCCCACTTAATAGCCAGCCCTCCAAATTCTTTTTTCTTTTTATTTTTTTTTCTCATTTCACATTCAATTTTAAGATCGATGGACTACACATAAAATGGGAAAATCTTGTTTATTTTTCTTTTATGCCTTCTTGACGTTTATCGGAGTTATTCGTGGTCCATCGTAAGCAAATCTTGAGAGTCAAATCTAGCCGTTTCGCAAAATGCCATAATGTCATGACACTAATTGTTTATAGAAAAAAAATACACCTTTAAATAACTGATCGGTTTCACGCCATATAATACTTTTGATGAGTTTTCTTAAGATTCTCACAATTAATGTTCGCCTCGGAATCTGATTACTTCAAAAGTTAATAAATTTTTTTGTCATTTTTAATTTTATTTTACAGTCTGTGCTATTAAAATAAGATTATGCGGAAAAAAGTTAGGCGTACATGGAAATATGCAGATCTTACTGAATCTCTATGAGTGGCAGGTTGTGAGATATTTGGAAAGTGATTGCTATAGGATATTCACAAAATAGAAGATAGATCGAAAAATGAAAAAGTTCCACTAACTTTGTTAATAGACAAATGAAAAAGCTGCTGCGTATGCAATCGCACCTCTTTTCCCAAAATTGACTCCAAAAGTTTTGATTTATTAGTGAGCTAATCTTCGTTTCAGTTTGTTTTATTCGATCTGTACGGCTCTATTGATTTGTCTACTAAAAATATCATATTATCACTACTTGCAAAGAGAGAAAATTATGGAATACGGTACAAACTAGTATATTATGAATTACACCCAAAACACCAAATGGATCTTACAAATATTTATAGAATCTTACATATTTTTTGTTTTTTGGTTTTATTGTTAAAATGAATCTTACATAATTTCAAATGAGTTTCACGTATTCATAGATGGTACAAAACCAGCAAAGTTGTGCACTATCAATTTACACATTCTAGCAGAAATAATAATTAAAAAAATTACTAACTCTTGTGTCTTTACATTTTTTTTTTTCTGATCAAGATTCATAATTTTTGTAAGAAATAGTTCGTATGAAAATCAAAATCATTTGGAATAACATAAAAAGAATACACGTCAAAAGGAAATAAGTTATTTCTCACGAAACAAAATCATTTGTCTTTTTCTTTTTTATTTCAAAGACTACTAAGAAAGTGAAAACGAAGAAACTGAAAACGTTTTAAATTTCACGTAAAAGTATTTTGAATTTCTAAGGATATGTTTTTGTGCCGTACTAGTTTAAACAATTAGATATAAATTAGATAGCAAATGAAAGATGATGTTAAGTTGGGATTGGCGCGAAGTAAGAAAAAGGCTTGAAAAAGGAGGACAAAGTCACTGATTGGACGAAGATTGCAAAGCCTATCCACTTCTTCATCTCTTCTCCTTCACCCTACTCTGTCGGTTCCTCAAATTTTTATTATTATATTTACTCCAGATAATATAAAATCCCAAATTTTGTTTGTTTTGGTGTAATTTATAACAGTTTTTTTCTTCTTAAAGAACCGTGCTCAAATACAATTCGTTCGATCTCGCAATTCGAAATCTTTGCTCCTATCTGAATCTTCTTCTCTTCAACCCATTTCAAGATTTTATCCTCTGCAGCGTTTTAACGAGGTTTGGGTTTAGTATTTGTTGTATGCATTTCTTGGTTTTTTTTTTCGTTTTCAATTTCTTATCTTTGTAATGTGCGACTTCTGCTAATTTATCTCTGTTACTCAGCTTACATGGTTATCGTTTCTGGGCAATCGCTGGATTTTGATTTTGATTGTTTGATTTTTTTTTTGTTTTTTTTTGTTTTTACGGACACATGAATGCAACAGTTTCTGGGTTATACTCTGTTTGATAAGAGATTCCGCTAATGCTTTTTGTTGTTTTTATTTTTTTCTCCAAATTGCTTCTTTGGAAACGCACTTGCAGTAAGAAAAAACAGAGTGGATTAATCTAGATATGAGTTAGAATTTCAAGTCAAGCTGTTTTTTTTTTTGTTTGATTTCATTCGAAATTAACGACATTAAATCTGCGTCCTCCAAAATTTCTTTCATTTTTTTTTTTTTGACTTAGCCGTAGTGCTTCTTTTATCCTTTTTCTGGGATTTATTTCCTGAAAATGTCTATCCAAGGAATATTTACTCAAATTAGCTATTACAATTATAAAGTTGGCAATTTGGGTACAATCTTGTTATATCTACCATGTGTTTGTGATCTGTCTCTGTCTACATACACACCCTTTTTGCTATAGTTTCATTGATTGAATGTGGTGCACAATCTAAATGCTTTGATGTCTCAATTTTGGATCTTTGCTGATTAGTTAAAGTCTCTGTTAGATATTTGGCTATGCAGAAAGCTTCATCTACACTTAGGTATCTTCATAACTTGTCTCCTAAGGCATGCTTTTTTTAATATGTGGCGTAGATTGTATCTCTCCATGGACGTAGAAGAAAAGAGGATTTCTTCTGTCTATGCCAAGCCCCCATGGATATTCAAAGGAAGGCAAGAAAACTTCTCTTGTAGCTTTTCGAAGAATGTCTCAAGTCGTCTTCTAGTACCTCCTTTGCTGTAATTTTCTTTCTTCTCATTTGTGATTTCAGTGCGCTGTACCAGATTCATCTTGTGAAAGCTACGACTGCTCGAGCATTCATCCCCAAAGAGTTTCGACTAGTTGAAGCTTTTGGGTATTAAAAAGCTTCTACATGGCTACTTCTCTGTTTAAATTATCTTCTTCAAAAATGTTAAAAAGTTGTTATGGGATTTTCAGATACACTCTTGGTGGGTTTTTCCTCGCTAGCTACGATGATAGCCCCGCTGGTGTCTTTGATGAGGTCTCTTCTTGCATCTCCCTATTTACTAAAATTATTATCATCCCACAACATTCTTTGATCATTTCTCTTGCATTTTTTTTTTTTTTTTTTTCCCAGCTTGTTGTGATTGCAGGGATAGTATGGAACCCTCCTACATCATGCGCGTATGTTTAGTCTTCTCCATCCTTCTGTTAGTTTGATTTCATACTTATCAAAACATGGAGTCATCTTACCTTACCCAAATGGAATAAACATCTTTCTTTTTATCACTTCAGATGGGCCGCGAGGGTGCTTGTGAACAGCAAAGAGGCTTGTCATCACGGACGCAAGGTAGGTGGGTCTACTTTGCTCTCTATTGATGGAATGTTGAGAGATTGGTCTACTTTGGGTGTTACTCAAAAAATAATCCCTTTATTATTATATAACAAGTTGGTTTTTGCAGGAAGTAGGACTTCCTAGCCAAACTGCAAGATTTTCAAAGGTTAGTGCCTCATTTTGGTCTTTAAAGTGATTTAGCTTTTAGTAATTACTACTGATAGGCTCTCAATAATATAGTTAAGTTTCAATTTTATTGCCAAATGAGGAAAACAAAACAAGATTACTTTGGAAAAGAGAGTGATGTTGTCTACGACATTGCAATTATTAACTACGAAAACATTCTTCCTAAACTCTTGGAGTATCAGATGGTCTTCTTTTACATTCTGCTTTGAGTAAAAAGTGATATTTTTTTCTTGTGGTTTGGGAACAGAAAATCACTGCGGTTCCAAAGCGAAAAAGGAACAGAGCTTTTGGTTTCTTGGACACAATTGGTTTGGGAACTACTCTGTCTCATTCTGAGGATTTGGTAGAGGTTAAGGTTAGTGAAGTTGATGGTGCTACTTCTGCAGATATCTGCAATATCCAAACTAGATCGGATGGTGAGTTCTTTGCTACTTGGTCTGACGTAAGCTATGTCATGTTTTGATATCTAACTATGGTCTTTACACTGGCCACCTCAGAATCAGAGACCAAATTCGGAAAATGGATGGGACCAGCAATCAAAATGTCACTCCCGAGTTTTAGGTAAAAACTTTGGTTCTTGAGATTGTTTTTATAGGAAACAGAGTTCTTAGCTCGTACGCTAATCAAGAATGTCAAAATCATTGGCAGTGGCAATACAAAGTACAACCCAAACCTGCTCAAATACTCATGCCACCTCCACTGCAGGTATTGCTACTGCTTTCTACTTTCTCTTAATCTCTTGAGAGAAAACCAAACAACGCTTATTAGTATTAAAAACATTGCAGGGTGAGGCCTGTGAGACCTGCAGTAGTATCAGATTATTTGGAAGATGAGGTAGAGAATACATCAGAACGGAATCACATTTCACAAGAACCGTTCGGTGATGAAAGGCGGTTAAGTGTAGCAGTGATGCTATCGAAACCAATCATGGCTCTTCAATTTAAAGGCTTAACAATGCAAGTAGAAGCTCCTGTTGTAGTTCACCCTTAAGCGTAAACACAACACTCAGATTTCAAGAACATACAGCTTCCTTCTTCCTACAAGGTTCACATCTTTACAAAAAACAACTCTTTCCCGTTTTTTTTTTATACTTACATAAGGCTCAATAGATCATGGTAAATATCAGAATTCTTCAGGAAGAGGATGACCGTCCAAGAACGCCTTGAACAGCACAAGTGATCTCTCAGGCTGTGAGAATGGGACCTCATGTGCAGCTCCTCTCACCGTTGCAAATGACAAGACATTTCCATAGACTTGAGTCCACCCACCGACCTGAATTAACAAACCCAATGTGTTATTTTTTTTTTCATCTTTGTTTTGGTAACATTAGAGTTTGTTGCTTGTTTTACCTGTTGTCCTGCAAACCAGACTCGATAAGGCACACTTGTTCTCAGTCCCAATCGTTTGGCCAATCTGCTAACTAAGGTTCTACTTCCGGTCAATGGGATCACGGAATCTTGATCCCCACTGTTCTTGCAAGAAAAGCATCCACCAGTAAATCATCAAGACAAGTAAAAGCTTAGAGACATTGTTATATAATATATATACCTGTAGACAAGAACTGGAACTCCAGCTTGAACTAAACTCCCTACGATATTAATCGTCGGTATTTCCACATCAAGCAATTGGTAATCAAGCACACTGTTTTCATCATGAGAAAACCAAAACCAAGAATGAAAAATCCGTTCTGTTCAACAACTATTAACATCAATCGTAATCATCTGCTAACTGTTAGAGAAGAAAAAGTGGGTACTAACTTGCTGCAAACTGTCCATTCACGTACTCCAATGAGCCGCGCATGAAGAGCTTCCTGCACATCTCTTCGGTTTAGGTACTTCACCGTCTCATCTTCCACGCAGACATCCACAGATTCTCCCACTTGCTGTCCATTCCAAAGAATCAACAAAGTTCATAAACATAGTCACAGAAAGAGTAAAATAAGAAAGCTCTACTACTGATGTTCAAAAAAAAAAAAAAAGAAAAAAAAAAAGAAAGCTCTACTACTAAGTTGTGTTGTGTTGTGACTCACGTTGGGGCTTACGACTTTGGATTGAGACAGCACAGAGGGGATGCAGACGTCTAGAGTGACGTCATATTTGTCCACAAATCGACTGGTCTCAGTGCTAACTTGACTCATCACTTTAGAGCACATACTAGACATTGACCCTCTATAGTACTCACTCACATAACGCGAGTAGTTACAGTAAGATGTGAACATTTTGTAAGTAGGATCCGATATCAAGCCATGTGACCAGAAATACTCAGCCCGCGAATTGAAATCAGTAGCAAACTCGAGAACCGGATTGCCAATCTACAAAAGAAAAGACCGGATTTAACACAGTAACATATAACCATATTATAAAATGAGATAGCTATTTGGAGGAGGAGATAAATGTTTTCTGACTTACAGCAATTCCTCTGAGATTGAACAAATGGTGCTTCTTGTTGTACTCAATCATAAGCTGAGCTAATTGGGGAACATAATGGCCTACATTTGCATCGAAACATTAGTGACGAAGACTACAATTTAAGAGCATGAAGTGATTGAAAGAAGAGAGGAACTTTAAAGGTTTTTACCAGCATAGCTTTCACCAGTGATAAAGAGACTTCGATTGAGATAATGTGGAAATTTTAGGAACCATCTTTGCAAGAACACAAGGTTGTCTTTTGCTGAAGTGGAAAAAAAAAAAGACACAAAAGAGAGAAAGAATGTTTGAGATGTGAAGACAAACAGAAAGAAACAAGAAGAAGAGAATAGTAATAATCTCAGATGTGATCTGCAAAAAAGGTTGAATTCTTTTGTTCTTTTTGTCAGTCTGAGACAGAACAAGAAACAAAAGCTGCATTTTATTTTCAGAAAAATATAAATAAAACTTGCTTTTCTGTAAAAAGAAGAATAAACCAGAGAAATGGCATTCACCGGTCACTGCATCATCATCATCATCTACTGAATTTTGTAATTATTTTTGTTTTTTAAAACTTATTTTGTGTGTGTAAAAAATATCCTTTTTTATGGTGGTTACAAAATCGTATTTTAGATTTTATTTTTCTTTGGTTGTCGCTGAATTTAGAGAGAAGTAAAAGGTAAAAGACAGAAAAGTATGGGTTTCTTTATGAAAATGTCTAAATCAATAGATTCAGCAACAGTTTCTTTGAAGGGTTTTGGCTTACAGTGTAATAATGATTTCACTTCAAAAAAGGATTGTGAATTCAAAAAGAAAGAAGCTTAATTTAAATCAAGAAAAAAAAGAGGGTTTAGGGAGATTAACCAGTGATCTTATCAGTCACACCCTCATAGGAAGAGCTCTGAGTTGAATAAGAGAATCCAACTCCAACAGGTGTCTCTAGATACAACATATTTGCCTCTGCAACAAACCAATAAAACTTTAAAAATTTAAGATAAAATGTGAATAGTGGAATTAAGAGGCTTTGTTTAAATTTAACTTACCTTGGTTCCAGCTGTGTTGATTCTTGACCAAAACCGGTCCTTTGGGTCTAAATGGTCCATTCTCCGAGAATGCACCAACTCCCAAAGATGAACATCCAGGTCCTGCATTTAAACGACAATTTTACAATTTCTTCTCTTTTTTTTAGAAAAAGAAGAAGAAGAAGACAAGATAGATTTGAGACGAACCTCCATTGAGCCAGAGAACGAGAGGCTTAGAGGTTGGATCGATTTCAGCCTCGGCGAAGTAGTAAAACAGAGCTCTCTGTTTTCTGTCGTCGACGGTGACATAGCCAGAGTATTGCTGGAATCCGACCCGGGGTTGACCGGGTAAACGGGTGACCCGATCAGAGTGAGGCAGAACAGTGGAGGAGGAGCTGAGAAGTGTGTGGAAAAGGATTAGGGCAAAGGAGATTGTGAGGCATTGGAGAGGAGAAGACATGATACGTCTCACTTGTTTTGGTTTACCGTGTGTTTGGTTTTGTGTGGCTTTGTGCCGAGAAGAAAGGAAGAGGAGGACAAGTGATGACTTTGGGTCTTTCTTTTCCCACTTGCTTCACCTTTGCATTTATATCACAAGATTCACCTTTTTCCTTGTGTATCTTATTATTTCTTTGTTTATTATTATTTTTTTTTACTTGATTTTATATTTTTACATATAATTTTTTTTTTCCTTTCATCGACTTGTGGGGGTAATAGATTGTAAAAAAAAAAAACTTACATTTTGCTTCACTTGAAAAAAAAAAAAAATTGAGGTGTAAAAAAAAAAGACAAGACTTTCTCAGTTCTTCTTCTTTTTGTCTTTGTCTCTTGAATCTTGCTGTTTCTCATTTCTCTCTCTCCACCATAGAATTCGGAAAGAAGAACCCTAGCCTTGTCCGAAACTCATTGATTGCAAAATATCTTCCTTAAATTTGTGTTTTAATTATTATCCGAAACTACTTCAACAACAGAGAAAGCCAAGCCGGAGAGAAAACCAAATGGCTTCTTGCGGCGGAGAGGCGGTGGAAATCGGATCCGACTCGAAATCGAAGCCCGTTGATCCCAAATTAGGCGGAGTTGGGACCAGAAGCGCCGGCCAAGGACAATATAAAGCTCCGGCGCCGCCGATGCAACAATGGGTGAAGAAGCAGCCTTATAAATCGGCCAAGAAGAAATCGAAGAAAGACAGGAGAATCAACGTAGCTCCTTTGGATCCCGAAGCTATCGACTGCGACTGGTGGGATACTTTCTGGCAACGAAACTCTTCTCTCTCAGGTTCAATTTTGACTTGACTTAGATTAGAAGATTCTCAGTTTTCTTTCCGGAGATTTCTGAGATTGTAGTTGTTTGGTTAGGTGTTTCAATCCCTTTAGACGAAGATGATGCGTTCAAGTACTTCTTTAGAGCTTCAAAGACGACATTTAGCTACATCTGTTCTCTCGTGAGGGAGGATCTTATCTCTAGACCTCCTTCAGGACTCATCAACATCGAGGGAAGGCTTCTTAGCGTCGAGAAACAAGTAGCCATTGCTCTAAGAAGATTGGCTTCCGGTGAATCTCAGGTCTCCGTGGGAACTTCCTTTGGTGTTGGCCAATCCACAGTTTCTCAAGTTACATGGAGATTCATCGAGGCCCTTGAGGAACGAGCCAAGCATCATCTTAGATGGCCAGACTCTGACAGGATCGAAGAGATCAAGTCAAAGTTTGAGGAACTCTACGGTCTTCCCAATTGTTGTGGAGCCATAGACACAACTCACATCATCATGACTCTACCTGCTGTGCAAGCATCAGACGACTGGTGCGACCAGGAGAAGAACTATAGCATGTTCTTGCAAGGTGTCTTTGATCACGAGATGAGGTTTCTCAACATGGTTACTGGCTGGCCTGGTGGCATGAGCGTCTCCAAGCTGCTTAAGTTCTCAGGCTTCTTCAAACTCTGTGAAACCGCTCAGGTATTGGACGGGAATGCCAAAACTCTGTATCAAGGAGCGGAGGTTAGAGAGTATGTAGTTGGTGGGTTTAGTTACCCGCTGCTTCCTTGGCTTATCACTCCTCACGACACTGATGATCCTTCTGATCCCATGATGGCCTTCAACGACAGGCATGAGATGGTGAGGTCAGTTGCAGCTACTGCCTTTGCACAGCTTAAAGGAAGCTGGAGGATTCTGAGCAAGGTTATGTGGAGACCTGACAGGAGGAAACTGCCTAGTATTATACTGGTGTGTTGTTTGTTGCATAACATTATAATCGATTGTGGTGATTATCTGCAAGACGATGTTCCTTTAACGGGTCATCACGACTCCGGTTATGCAGACCGGTACTGCAAGCAGACCGAGCCGCTTGGTAGTGAGCTCAGAGGATACTTGACTGAGTATCTGCAGAGGTGAGAATCTTCAAAAAAACATAGGATAGTTTTCTTATGTCCTAGTGTTGAAAGCGTTGTCTTATGTTTTCTGTCTACCATTGCTATTGAAGTTTTAATTTGCATTGTAAGGAAATGTTGGGGTTAATCAAAATCAATCAAGTTTTGTTGTTAAGGGTGTTCTCAAAATCACAAAGTTCTATGTTTTTTGAAGAGATTAACACAAATGTGTTTAAAAAGCAAAGAGATAAACACTGTAACTAATCAGAATGTATTAGAAAAACAAATGGAAGCATTAAACAAAACGAAAAGGCCATCGGACCCTAAAGAGAATTATATATCTAATTAACTTAAAATATTATAAACTTAAAAAGTTTACAATAAAAGAATAGTAGGTAGACAAGAACATGGTTACATGAGTCTGGCCCAGTTATAATTTAAATTTTAGCTAGGCATGGTAGAGCAAAAATAATATGGCCAAAAAAATTGAGAATTACAACGACAAGAGTGGTATGGTATGCGTGTAAAGGAGCTTTTAACAATGGCACTCGCAGAGACCACTGCATGCAATTATGCCTTTCAGCAAATTCTGTAACTTTTTTAGTATTTTTCTGTTAAATTATTATTTTTATTGCTTTTAAGAGTTACTTTTTTCAGTATACAAGATTTTTGAATCATATTGCCTTCTATGTTATTCTGCTTTGTATAAGTACATTACTCTGAATTTTGAGTGTGTTGTAGTTCACTGCAATAGTTCCATAGTAGGTTGTAGTCTCGTAGATAAAAAACCCCAAACAAAATAAATTGCTATTTAAGTAGATTAATAAATAAATCCTACAAAAAATGCCCAAAAAAACATTTATAAGAAATTCTCCAGAAAACGTATAACAATATATTGCTCTTAAAAAAAGTTTATTTGAAACTGAAATACTTGAATCAAGTACATCTGCTCATTGCTAATCTGAATGCAGTTCTCAAGTTTTCATATTGGGATGGCTAGTAAGAGAGATTGGTATTTTTTCTTCATAAAGTTTTAATTCTTTAGTCATTGTCTATTCCTTGTATAACGTTCAATAGTTAAATCATTGCTGTTATTAGACTGTTACTCCTCTATTATTAAAATATCATGATATTATTAAAAGGGTATAGTATTATACAAAATAGACTAAGCTATTATCAAACTGGATAAACAGAAACGAACAAAAAGGGCATTGCTTACAGCTAATTTGATGCTTCACGCCAAGCTTTCTCCATCTTTCCCAAGGCCAAATCATTTCTCTTTTTTAAATTTTACTTTATTAATTAACTTCTCTTAATTCCACCACGCACCATATGTTCATTTCTTTTCCATCTTCAAAACTTTTTAAATCGAAAGAGATGGATGTATCACTTTTTTCGAAATTTTTTCTAATATATTACCTTAACTTAAAGGTAGTCAGTTTTGTTAATTCTATTTTTGTTTAGAATGATGTAAGTAATGCTTTTGGGAGCTTTGAGTGTAAGCCAAGTCTTTTTAACCTTTTTGCGTATTCTTCGTCGAAGCTTTTTGATGTTTTTGTCTACCCAAATATAAATCGAGAAAAAGCTAAATAACTTTCTGATAAAAAAGGAAAACAGATATATATATATATAATACTTATAATATGATATTCTTTTTGTAGGCAATCAAAAAGAAATTCCAAAAAACTAAGTAAGACGATGAGACTCATCGAGCCACATGTTATGGACAAGATTTTACCAACGGCTATGAGGCTACGACTTCCAATCGTTTTCTCCAAATTACCAACGAATCTTTCCAAGACAAAAACGCACCAAATGGAAACAAAAGCATGTATAAAAACTTTATAAGAAAGATATGATTAAACAGGGATCATACCATTCTTAACTTTGTCAAATATCTCTGTTTGAACGATGTTCAATGCTTTCTACGATGATTGTCAAAAGAGATATAATTGCTCATTTTAAGACTTATATAAACGTAGCCATCACGAACGTAGCCATCGCGGAGGGAGAGAAATGACACTGATGATGATGATGGGGCCAAGATAACAGTGTCCCCCACTCGATAATGCCGCCGGAAATTACTCCTACCATTCCTCTTATCTAGTGACCATAAAATTTTCAAAGTTCTCACTTTTCTTTCTACATGTGGTTTTTTTTCTGTTAGTTATCAATACGAATCTCATTAGTTACTGAACGTAACAGATAACTCGCTTATCACATGCATTCTTCATTTTAGTGCGAATACATCATTTTTGTTTTGAAACTATCAATTTTAATGCAATGTTTTTTTTTTGTTCTAAATTGATATGATTATGACATATATATAAATTAGGAGATCACCGCGTATGGTGATGTGGGGATTGACAAGCTAAGAGTTTCGTGATATAGATTCACAGAGATTTCTAGATTCGATATCTCTCTCGAATTGACTTGCTCATCCCATAGAATTAGTAGGATTAGACCCAGATCACCAGTAAAAGTAAAAATCATCATATTCTGGTGGAATTTAAGTTTTAACTTTCAACTTTTGCATGCGTCTTTGGTATTTAATATAAATCATTATGAGAGACGAAAAGCATATAAAGCGTTGTTTGAAGAACATTATTATGTTACTATTTTCCTTAGTCATTTATCGAAAAGCATATAAAGCACCTTAACTATTAATGTAAGAATCTTAATGTAATCAGCTATTTAATAAGCATCATATCATCATGCATAGGCTACCGTAGAGAATTATATCATCATGCTTATTGCTTAAGCTTTCGTATTCGAAAAAATAACAAAACATGTTTATGCTCTGAGTTGATGTCTCTAGCTCTTTTATTATTATTGTTATTTTTTTCCATATTTTTTTTTATAAGAATACCATTTTGTTGGGAACTGAAAATATGGGAGAAAACAAATAAAGGGCAAGAGACAGACTCCATTTGGTCTGAAACTGAAAAACAACTTTTGCCTTTATGGGTTGGCTAAAGGAGTGGGAATGGCCCATCCCCACCCTCTCACGTCTTGTCTCTTATATCCCCCTTTGCTCATTATCCTCTTTTCTTTATATTATTGTTTTTTCTTAATAATTACAAACGGAAACACTAACTAAAATCCAGGCCTTTCTTTGTGTCTTCTTCTCTTGCTTTGTTGTCTTAATGTCTTTTGGCTTGGATTCATCACTTTAGTTTACTGAAAGTTCATTCAAACTTTTGACTCTCCATCGTAATTTGTTTGTTAAACATGCAAGGCATAGAACCTACATGTAAGGTAATTTATATGCTCCAAACAAAACAATGTCATAACTTATGAACCATTTTTATGTGATTAATAAAGAAAAGCACTCCAAACAGTTTAACTTTTGTATGCACCATATGTGTTTATATTAGGAATGAGTACATAATTTAACGGATATTCATATTTTTTTTCTTTTTATGTATGATATTTGTATATCCAGTGTTCCAATGTTGCGTATGCTTCATAAAAGTTTGGGATTTGACGGCGTACTTAAAAGCCACCTACAGTTTTGTATATTCATGTAATCGTATGTTAACTTAAGGAGATAAAAAAAATTTACATATGCATTTTTTTGTTTGGTCGAGAGCGAGGAAAATATCATTTTTATACGAATTTCCTAAACTAAATAGCAGAACTGAAATATCACGAATTTTTTCCAACACTAGTTTACACATATCCAAATGAAGTACCAATATCCCCAATATCCCGTATACCTTTTGTAACCCTCACACAGTCACACTTATATATTATCTTTTTGTATTGGTGTATAGATGAATGTACACATGCTAATGGAAAGTTAGATAGAGGAATAGAAAGATAGATGGTTAGGTCAAAAGGAAAGGTTGTGAATTTAAAAATGAACAATTTTAGCGGTAACGAGTGTGAGTCTTTTGTGTCAGTTGCATTGGAGGCAAAACTGAATTATTCGTTGTAGTAGGAATTGTCAAACCAAAGAGAGAACATGCCTATATATATAACCTATCACTCCCTCTTTTTTCCTCTCATCTAAATTGTTCCTTTATCACTTAAGAGGGAAAATAAAGGTAATATAATTAACATAAAGATAAGATTGTTATATTAATTACTATATCATCTTTTAGTAACATGCCATTTTCCAAATTTAAACCAACAACGTATGATTAAAACTTTGATCGAAATTATATTTCATGTAATACTCCATAATCTCTAAATCTTAAAAAAAACTACTACAGTAATATATTTTCAAAACCCTTCATCAAACGTGAGCTCATCAAACCATCATTTCAAAACGGAACAACCTCAAAATATCCATGTAAAACACGACTCGCATGATAAAAATGTACTTATTTTAGTTGATGAATTAAACTTATACCTTTTGACTTTATAAACTAAAAGGCTTTCATTAATAAAACAGAACTTTGATTTTCAATCATTATAGCAATAGTAAGCGTAATTCTTCATTTTAGGTTGTTGATGAGTGGAGATTTTGACTCATTCTAACTTGTGTTTACTGATTGTTTTAGGAGTTTTTCGAGTCTTTTCAGGAAGTTTCAGGTGACTTAGGGGCCTTATCAGAGGATTGAAGTGTTTAGGAGGCAATGAAGCAAAAGAAGATTAATTTGAGCAATAAGGAGCTATTTCACACGCTTTTGGAGAAATCATCCGCGGAACACCTGCTCCCGGTTTGGACCCTTCGTGGAGCACCTGCTCCAGACGGGAGAAAAATAAGGAAATCGATTTTTACCTAATTTTAGGAGGAGAAAGAGAATAAAAGTCCACAGCCGCCTGTGTTTTATGATCACATTTTTCTACAGATTTTCTACGCTTTCTTTTTACAATTTCCTGAACCAGAGAGTTTTTACTTGTAAGCTTTTGGGAGAAGAAATCTGCTACACTTTGAGAAGAATTCTGAACCCTATTATCTCTTCTGCGATTTTAATTCATGAATTCCTTTCCATCTGTTTCTGTGTTTCTTTTCTCCATGTCTGAGTAGATCTCTTAGCTAGATTAAAGCGTTCAAAGGATTTCATGAATTAAGGGATTAAATGCAAATAAGGCTTGATATCTATTGTCTTCACCATTGTTAGACTTAATGCTTAGGTTGAATTGATCACTCAATCTACGATTTTAGGTTAATCTATTCATCAAAAGTGTAATAGGTTGCTAGAATAAACATTGGTGAGCGATTTGTCCTTAGCCAACGACAGTTGAAGTTAAGGCAAATCGTGAACAGACCAAACCTGCTAACTAACGCTTGTCTGCAATTTTCTAGGTTCAAACGACAGTTTAGGATTTAGGTTGTTAGCCAAAGTTATCGAGATCACGACAGTGGATTGATAAGCTTTTCTGTTTGAGTTCGAGACTTGCGTTACACTTATGCCCTGAATAGTCATCTGGTTCTTATCTCTGAAATTCCTGCGAATTGCTTTGGTCTAGTGCTTGTTTTAACTTAAATTTAAATCGTTGTTTGCCATTCTGTTTACTTTTTAGTTTTCGCAACAAACCATCTTTTGTCTTAGCTTTAATTCAATCATCGCAAAGTCATAGAGTAACACTGGTCCTCTGGATTCCGAATCCTTTATATTACAACTACATCACTGTTCTATTGCAGTAGAAACTAGGAGTACATCCAGTCTGAATCAGTTGTTAAACATTTGTTTTCTTCCTTTTAACATGCATCTTTATTGATTTAGAAATTATGATCACATTTAAAAAAAAAAACATAGGAAACAAAGAGAGTACAATGCAATGGCATAAGTGATATTTAGAGTGGACAATAAAACAACATAAGTGTAGTTATACGACGTTTCTCTACAAGAAACTAACAAAGTGTCATCTCTGTCATTAATATTCATTTTTCTTTATAATTGGAAACTTCATACGAAAATGAATATTTGGTTCTACTCCTATAAATTTAGATTTTTTTGAAATGAATAAATATTAACAACAGAAATAAGTAAAACAATTTTTTGAAATTTGTTGTGTCAAGTCATACCAATAATGTCTAAAATAAGTAAAACAAGATCTTTCTTTCACCCCATATTTGTTTATAAATCTTTTCATTCAACACAAATCTTAAAGAGAGACGAAGATGGATTCAGGACTATCTTGGGCTGATCAATGGGATTACAACTCTGACCCACCTGCAAATTCAAATAAAGAAGACGATAAGAAGAAGAACAAAAAGAAGGAAGACGGAAGCAAAAGCAGTTTTGGGAAGGCCATACTTGGCTTGAAATTAATGGGTAAAGGAACTTCGCAAGAAATCTGATAAGTAATCAAGAGGTTGTATTGTTTTAGTTACACAAGGCTTTGATGATCCTTTCGTTCCTTGTGATTAATCCATTAATCTATGTTTCTCTTTTTTAACCATTCTTCTTATTCTAATCTCCAAATCTTTAAAAATTAGAAAGTTTGTTGCATGGTTGCGGTCTGGCAAAAAAATTGTGTTGAACCATCGATTTGGTTCTTCATCAAACATATGCCTATAGCTACACGAACAATTCAAAATGCAAGAAATTCAAACTGTTGCGCATCTGTGAGAAATGTTATTTTTTCCTAGTAGAATCACAAAATTAAATCAATTTTTATGAGAAACGCGAAACAAAAAAGAGTGGATACGAATTCATATAGAAAATGAAAATGATATCTTAAAAAGGAAATGTTCTGTTATTATTAAATTAGCTATATACAGGATCCAGACTATATGGATCCTAATTCACACATTAGACTATTTTACGTGTTGATTTGTATATAAACTCATTTTGCATATGTTTGAGTATTTGAGTTCATAATATTTTGGAAGGCCAATATTTTTATATACTTATTGTTTTATAAAAGTTTAATAAAATTAAACAAATGATCAAAATCTCATGACCAATTTTTGTACGATGATTTTGTTTTGTTTCTATTTTTTTAAAATCTTATGATCTGTTTCTGTTGAAAATCTTTATTAGTCTAAACATGGTTATGCATGTGCATAGACTGTCTTCAACGCTTTGGCTCATGTTTGACTACTTTTGTAACAAGTTTGGCTACTTTTTTTATTTTTTAACTAAGACTAACTAACCAGAGGTAAAATGGTCAGTCTTTTCTCCAGTCAGCTTTGTCTTGAGCTCAACCAACAACATCTTTGTTTCTTCCTCCTTCTGTGTTGGCAGCTTCTTTTTATTACCTGCCTACACATGAACATACACAGTCTTCACCACTTTCCCTCCATCAAAGGTGGACTTGATCATCCCTTCACTATCTTCAGATATCCTTTGCAGCTTCAGCACCTTCTTTGGCTATTTTTTGTAGTTTTTTTTAACAAATGCTATTTTTTTAGTTTGTAACAAGTTTGGCTACTTCCTTTGCTTTGGATCTCATGGTGTTCATTTTGGTTGCTTATGGTTCTGTTTCTGGTTTTTTCATTAGTGAGAATGCTTAATAGTACTTTGTGAACAAGGAAGAAGTTATAAAGAGAAGAAGACAAGAAAAAAGAGAGATCTCTTTTGCAATGCCAGTTGTATAGAACTCTTTTGCTATAAAGAAAAAAGAGAGATCTCTTTTGCTATACGGATAAAAGTATACACAATTACAACTAACAGTTGTATAGAACTCTCGATTTTGTTGTTGTTTCTTCTAAACTAGAGTCCATTTTGGCGCCAACTTAACGAATATTTGTTGACCCATTTCACCAAAACCTTTCATTCTTGCTAACCCCAATTTTGTTTTGCAATTGTTTAGTGATCGGTGAGTAATGATTTTTCCATTTATAGGTATGGTGAAAATAAAATTTTTACTAATTCGAATATATATATATATATATATATATATATATTTTGAAACAAAACTAATTCGAATATTTTGATGGTGCTAAATAAAATTTTACATACTCATACGATTTTGTCAAAATATTTAATAGAATATTTAGTGAGATTTAGAAAAATGATTTTTTTTTCTACAAGATTTGTTAGTAGATAATATTTATTGAGATTTTTGAATAATAATGAAAGATATGTTTTCTAATTTTATCTAGAGTTTTATTGATATTTTAATATAAAAGGAGATTCATTGCAATCTTTCTTTTTAGTTTTTTCACAAGCAAAGCAGAATAATATGAGTAAGACTAATGAAGTTTTGTTACAAGAAATTACTAAGCTGCGAGCAGAGGTACGCACGCATACTCTGAAATTTCCTTCAATCTAACTTATTTCATTATGATATAGTATATACTCACAACAAGGCATATACATCACTTGTGTGCATCTAATAATAAATTATGGATTTGGTTTTCAAAATATTAGGTCGATAGGTTGAGTCAAATATGCCAACTCCAACGAATAGAGCTTCTTAAATCAGCCAAGAAAGCTCATGAAGTTGTAACATTAGACGCAAAGAAATCGGCTAATTATTCGTTTGCCGCCGAGGAGGCCATAACGTCCTTAATTTCTCATGTAAATATCTAAATTGAACCTAAATTTAATTTGTAAGCAAAGTAGCTATGAAAACTTGCCAAACTAACTTTTGCAACCTTTTGCTTTATGTCAACCACAGCTCAAAGATGTCTTACGGTACCAAGACAAATTTGATTTGTCGTTGGTTTAACGTGCCGGTTGTCAACAAATCTACGTGACATGAGGAATTGTCCATATTAGCCATAAGTGATAGGCCATAGTTATATGCAGGATCCTGATCATATAAATTACATGGTCCTTGGGTTAACTATTGTTTTTCCTTTGGTGATTCCTCCTAATTTCTCAAAATTATTCGCAAAAACTGTTGCCCTCACAAATATTTAATATGAAACATCTAATAATATTACTAATAATAATACATAGTATGGTTGGTCTTTTGTGATCTAGGAATCTTTAGCTAATCTCACCAAGAATCTTCTTTAAAGTGAGTTTAAGAGCCTTCATAAGTTAAGAAATTTGTGTGTATCTAATAATGGATATCAAAGTTGAGATCTTATCAAGAGAAGTAATTAAACCGTCTTCTCCCACTCCAAATGATATGAGAATCCTCAATCTATCTCTTCTTGACATCCTCAGCCCACCCCTGTACTTCTCTTTTACACACGGGATCCTCAGAACCTTATCTGTTCTTCATCAGAGGAAACATCCTTGAAGCTGAAGAAATCTCTGTCTACAATATTACCAATCTTCTACCCTTCGTAGAATGTAATGATGAAGGAGCTGTGTTTATAGAAGCTCAAGTGGACCATCTTCTCTCGGAGTTTCTCAAGTTCTCTGTTCTTGAATCATTGAAACCACTCGTTCCTGTTGAAGCTAAGTCCGGAGAAGTAGTGATATGGCCTGTGTTGCTAATCCAGGCCAATTTCTTCAGCTGTGGAGGATTGGTTATCACAATCTGCATTTCTCATAAGATCACTGATGCAACATCTTTGGCAATGTTCATCAGAGGATGGGCTGAGTCTTCAAGAGGTTTGGGGATTACTTTGATTCCTAGTTTCACCGCTTCCGATTTCTTTCCTACACCTCCTCCTGATGAGCTTCCCTTAAAACAGATTGATCATAAAGTCGAGGTTGAAGAGATGATGAATTACGTAACAAAGAGGTTTGTGTTGGATGCATCAAAAATGAAGAAACTCAGAGCAAAAGCTTCAAGCAATCTTGTCAAGAATCCAACCCGTGTTGAAGCCGTCACAGCTCTTTTGTGGAGATGTGCTACTAAGGCTTCTAGAGTGAGTTCTCGAGAACCAAGAACTTCTGTGCTGCAGATACTGGTGAGCTTACGAGGAAAGGTAGATACTTTGTCCGAGAACACAATTGGTAACATGCTTTCCATAATGATTCTAAAGAACGAAGAAGCTAAGATAGAAGGAATTCAACATGTTGTTGATGAGTTTAGGCGGGCAAAGGAAAACTTTGGCTTGAGCTGCAAGGAAATGTCGAAACCCTCATCTAGAATTCTTGAAGTTTGGGAAGAGATTCGGAAAGTATATGGAATGGGTAATGAGGTGGACTTGTGGATGAGTAATAGCTGGTGTAAGCTCGGCTTGTACGAGGCTGATTTCGGATGGGGAAATCCGGTTTGGTTAACCGGAAGAGGAACTTCCAATATCAACAACTTGATGTTGTTGATTGATGCCAAAGACGGAGTCGGAATCGAAGCATGGGTCACTCTTACCAAAGAACACATGTTGCTGTTCGAATGTGATGATGAGCTTCTTGAATCAGCTTCTCTCAATCCCCATGTTTTGATCTAGACAAGCACAAAACTCAATGTCCCAAAACATTTTCTTTCAAAAACTCAAACTATATAGTAGTAACACTGATGTAAAAACGTGTTTTTATCTTCAATAAACTCAAATTATGTTTTTATAGCTTCTTACAAAAAAAAAAAAACACTTATTGTTGGGATATCAATCTAAAGCTCACATCGGATTAGAAAACAAAAATTATTTGCTAAATATAATACTCCTTTTATTTCAAAATATAAGGTGTCTTAGATATTATTTTATGCTCAAATATGTTTCCATGCAACTTTAAATTTATTGTATAAAAGAGAGGCACAAGTAGACAAAGTCAAATAAAAAACAGACTCAAACTCACTGGAGATTATACAACTTATTGATTACATGTTTCTCGAGATGCAGAGACATACACACTTGGGTTTGAAGAGACATAACGAAGCAATTCCCCATCGGATTCAAACCTAGACATATGGTTCTGGTCAAGGTTGATCAAAGCTTCTATGCCATCACCTTCCTTAGTATCGATGAAAGCACCCTGATTTTCGTCAATCATACTTGTAGAAGCAAACCACAAAGGTTTTCCCCATCCGAAATCTGCGTCATACACTGGAAATTTACAAAGGCTCGTTAAAGTTAACGACACAATCTCTCCTTTGAAAAAACCTGAAAAATGTTTGTTTCGAAACTCGAGGTGTGCTCTGCTATCTTCTTGAATTTTATTCACGTACAGTGCGTCTATCTTTCTGATCTCCTCTCTAATCTGCTCCACAAGAGAAGGCTTTGCTTCGTCGTCATCTTCATTGATTATCATCTTAGGTACAGTAACTGAGAAACTCAGTATGTTCCCAAACATGTGCTCTGGTATGAACGGATCTGCTTTTCTACGCAAGTTCACCAGATGTTTCAATGTATATATCTTTTGGGTTTTATCATCTCGGTTTATTGTAGCCACGAAACGGCTCCATAGGAATGCTGATAAGGCCTCAACACGTGTGGCCCGAAACTTCTTGTTTCCACTGAATCTCTCTCTTAAAGATTCAACAGAGGATTTCGAGAACACGAAGCGTCTGGTGACTAAGTTCTCGTTCGTGATACTTGTAGCCATGTTGAAATCCTCCATGTCGCGTGGAGGAAACATCTTGGCGATATCAAAAGAAGGAGTGACGATTTTATCAGTGTCTCCGCGAGCAAAAGCTGCCCAACTTCTGATGAAGATGAGACCGGACATGGCATCGCAGAGTTTATGGCAGAGGCCTATACCGAGAGCTAAGCCGCCGCATTCAAAGAAAGTGAGCTGAATCTTGAGAGGCACGTCACCCACTTCGTCAAACTTGAAAGGGAGGAACATGTCGAGTTCATAGGGATTAGGGTTTTCTAGAATCTGTGACATGTCGCACCCGGCTTTGGCTTCAACGAAAGACACACCCACATCGTTGCACAGAACAACGTCTCCCGAGTTCTTGATTCTTCCTGCCAAGGGGTAAAAGAGATTCAATATTTCAGACAAAGAACTCTTGATGTGATCAGCTCGTTCTCTGTCTGAGAGATTCCGCTTGCTGTGGTAAAAGAAAAGGAAAGGCATGAAAGAGGAAGGAGCAATCTGATCAAGGAAAGAGAGATAGTGGTAAGGAAGATGATTAATGTTAAGAGAAGAAGGCTTGATGAGTTCCTCAGAAGTCACAGTGATCTCAAACTCCATTTTTGTTTAGATGAGGCCTTATGAGAAGACTCATGATGATTATATAAGGAAAATTTAAGGAGATAGTCCTGCATAATAACACTTCATAGTGGTTAGACACGGATTCCTATTAGACATAATAACACTTCATAGTGGTTAGACACGGATAACAAATAGACATAAGCGGACAAAAAATTTACACAACACTAATTAGCTGCATTGTTCTGTTTAACATTAACAAAGACTCATCCAAAAAAAAAAAACATTATCAAAGACTTAAAGTCAGTGGGGGAGGTTGGGTTGCCCGGCCCCGTTAATTATTAATTTCGATGATGCGCCCAGATTCAACTTCTAGCTGCAACATGCATTAAAGTTTGTATTCGTGTTTTTAACAAGTTTTTTTTTCCATTTGGAATCTGTATACTGGTGCAGAGTTTTATGAATTTTTAAAATCAAATTTATGCAAATTATATTAAACTTTACTAAAAAAGATCATGTCTTCAATTCAAACTAACACCTGGATTCTTTTTTTTAACCCGATTGACACGAGGATGTAGATTTTTGATAGTCCGTTAATGCGGGCTGTAAATAACCTCTATCCGTACTCTTTTTGCCGTCGATGGGATGCCTTAAAATGGTTTATTTAACTAACAAATATATTTTGACACAACATTTTAGTTTGCTATTAGAACTTAGAACTATCATGCAGTTTGTTTAGCGAAAAAAAAGAACTATCATGCGGTGAAAAAGTTCCAGTGGATATCAGCGAGCATGGTGGATATAGGCGGGGCCAAGAGTGCTTTTCACAAGACCCATAATTTTTCTAACACATTGTTTCATATTTTCGAAAAAAACAAATTTTCGCTAAGAAAATTATGGCCAACATGATATAGAGCACATGCATGGCCCCTGATAAACAGTTGCTAGTTTCACTAATTTTTCTCTATTACCATTTTGTTTCTTTACTTTTAGCCTTTTAGGATCTAGAATATTGCAAGTACGTTTAGTTTCTTTTTTGTAATTTTTGTTTGCATTGCGAGTAACGTCTGACGTGTGGAATGTGAAACTCAATTGTACTCTTTCTTTCAAGATTAGAGATTTGATAATTACAATTAAATCCTTAACACACATTTAGATGCCTCTTCAATATGGAGGAACTTTAGTGACTTCAATCTTGTTTTTTTTTGGAAAACAACGTATTTTCCCCACAGCAACTTTCGTATAGTTGTAGATTCCCGCAAAGTTTCAAATTCGTCGTATATCCCCATTTTTGAACTTTTATCAACCCGTTTTCCCATATACCATGATTTTGACGGTTTGCAAAGCAAACCTGATGGGAAATCACTTAAACCAACTAAACCAACTTAACCATAGACCGGACCTCATTTAAAACCCGACTCATCCGATTCTTTTCGGGGACCCGACCCGACGCGATGAAGCTGTTAAATTCCCAAATCGTGTATGAACCCTAGAATTTCGATTTGGTCAATTCGTGTGGGGACTTCAAAAGCGATTGAAATTCTGGGTTTAGGGTAGGTTTTGCTGTCTTATTTCGATCATTGGATGCTTGATTTCATAGTTTATCAGCTTTAGAACTTCATTTTGCTAAAATATCGATGTGTGTTGGTTGATGAAGATTACAAAAAGAGGAAGGAAGATATAAGACATAAACCCAGAAAAAACGAGCAGCTGGTGAAACCCGAAATAAAAATCCAATCACTAAAACCAGAAATCAGATTTGCCCTCTCTAAACCCAGAAATCGAAATCAAAATCGCAATCCAGTTCGAAATATCCAAAGAAATCAAAAACACAAACCCTAAAACCATAAATCAAAATCTCAAATGAAATAGAAATAACAACATACATTTCGCTAAATAAAGTTATGTGGGTTCGATTTGGGGATTTTCTTCGCGATTTCAATTTGGGGATTTTTTAAGAGAGTTAAAGTTTTTCGCGATTTAGGGATTGAGTGGTCAATTTGGATATTTCTAAGTCAGGTCAAAATTGAGTCGGGTTTAATTTGGGGTATTTTTGTCGGGTTAAAATTGAGTCAGGTTTGATGTGGGGAGAGTTTTTTTTTAACTCGGGTCAAATGTTTTTAAGTCGGGTCAAATCACAGTTAACAAGCTTAATCGGGTCAAATTTGGTTTAGTTGGGTTTTTAAATGGTTTAGATAGTCCTGCATAATAGCACTTCATAGTGGTAATTAGACATGGATTACAATTAGACATACGCGGAAAAGAAAGTTACAAACTTTAATTAGCTGCATTATATTCTGTTTAACATTAACAAAGACTAAAAAAAAGAGTAAAAAAAAAAAAAACAATATCAAAGACTCAAAGTTATTGGAGTGGTTGGGTTGACTTAATTTTCCGTGAAGACTATGCGTCTATGCCCCGTTAATTTTTAATTTCGATGATGCATCCAGATTCAATATCTAGTTGCAAGTTTTTTTTTTGCATTTGGAATCTGTATATTGGTGCAAAGTTGTTTGTTTATAAATTTGTAAAACCAAATTTATGCAAATTATATCAAACTTACTAAAAAATAATATGTATTCAATTCATTGTTTCTTAATTTTCACAAGACCCTTAATTTTCTAACACATTGTTTCTTTTTTTCAAAAAACTCTAATTTTTTGCTAAGAAATTATGGCCCCCAGATATAGAGCACATGTCATGCATGGCCCCTGATAAATATGACCCGGTAGTTCAGCTTTTCATGCAAACAGTTGCTAGTTTCACTATTGTTTCTTTACTTTTAGGATCTAGAATATTGCAAGCACGTATAGTTTCTTTTTTGTAATTTTTGTTTGGATTGCGAGTAACGTCTGACGTGTGGAACGTGAAACTCAGTTGTACTCATTCTTTCAAGATTAGAGATTTGAAAGTACAATTAGGTCCTTAACACACATTTAGATGCCTCTTCAATATTGAGGAGCTTTAGTAATTCCTTTTTTTAACGTTTCTTTTATTTCAATCTTGTTGCAAATGTCATTGAAAGGTATTCGAGCTAAAGGTTTTGTGAGGCATCGAACAGTTAATTGGATTTGGTGGATATATATGGCCATCGGAGAAACCTTGCTTACATCTGACCAGATTATGAATTATTGATAATCAAGTGAAATGTGTTTTATGTGTGAGTGTAAGAAAAAGCATGTATTTCGGTTGTTGGTTCTTAATTCTTATTGGTTTCGCTGTAAACTCTTTTTAATTAATGAATGCCCTTTAACAAAAAAAAAGTAAGGAAAAGCATGAAAAAAATATACACTAAATATTAAGGTTGATCTGGAGTGCCAGTGGAATAGATTTTCCAAGACATAAAAGTGGGTTGGAGATGGTTCAAGAACTATTAAATAAATCCCAAGATCATCATTAACATATATAGTTTAGTAATACTATAATTTCAAAATAAATCATTTTCTCTAGTTCTTTTTTTCTCCAAATTTTTCATCATTCTTGGCATTTTTGCATTAAACTCAGCTTATACAATTTGTTTTTGAGCAAGAAATGCATACCAAGTGAAAACAATATTAGGTTCTTTAAAAATTTAGTTTGCATATTGGACATCTTAACCGCATTATCGAATGTCTACGAAGTTTAATTGGCCGTCTAAAATCATCCAAGTGCGAAGATTTTTGGTGGTGAGAAAACGTGCTTCATTGGCCCTTTTTGTATCACTAGTCAACACATGTGTTCGTTTACATAGTTCAATCAGAAGAACCATGGAACTAAGTTTGGTTTTGATTTCGTTTAGGATTCTCCTAGTTTTGGGACAAGCTTCCAAAGAACAAATCGACAAAAGGATACACTATAAATAATGAAACTCTACAGTATATTCTTTGAAGTGTTGTGGACAAAAGAAATAGTCCCTCCCTGGAAACAGCCAAGGGAAGAGCAGAAGCATAATTACTGGTGCTAAGGAAGTGACACTAACACTCATCTTTTTGGACTCTTAAAGTTACATTTGTTGGGGTTATAACCTGTATATTGACAATACCAATACTAGTCAACAAGGTTTGTCATTCTTAATTCAATTTAGAGACTAATCAGGCCATTAAAACAAACTTCGACCTCTGTCATTGATGGTATGGCACCCTTTGGTTCAATTTGGTACAGTACAAAGGAAATTATCATGAATCTCATAGTAAAACAGAAGGGTTTTTTTATCATAATGAAGGAGCAAAGAGATGAAGATGATGTAATTGTTGATCCATCCATGGTTTCATCCACATGGATCGATATTACCACAGTGTTGTTAACATCTCCTAATGGGTTTGATGATATGTCAAATGATCATTTTTCCACATTGTCTGTTACCTGTAACAACACAATCATTTAACTTACATCAGGTGAAATCTAACGTAAGAGAGGTTATATGGCGATTTCGTGTTTATACCTTACAAGATGACTTGGGGTAAAGGATGTCGTAATGGCCTGGACGATACAGCAATGTTATAAAAGGAGCAGATGCTTCTTCTTTCTCATTAGTGCCCACAGGAACAAAGTCATGATGGTTCACAGTGACACCTCCATTATCACATGAGCTACGGTCAAGATACACAACCCGGATTGCAACACCAAGTGCATCTGACAAAGCGGTTATGTGAATGTGGTCGCTCTCTTCCCCCATTGGTTCAACCGATGACTTGCAAAACTAAACGAACAAAAAAAAAACGTTTAAGCTTTTGCATTAACCTATGCACTAATAAACTTTTAGGGGGGATTCAAAACTTTCTATAGAATCTTCGTTTTGAGCAAAAGTAAAAGGGGCTAAATGTCTCATAACGCTGAAAAGTCCCACACAAAGCAAGCAAGTTTGGTAGTATAAGTTGTTTTCATTGTAAATGCATTTATAAACTAACCTAGACCTTCTTTCTTTTTATATTTCTGCCTAATGCTACAATGAAAAAAAAAACTTGAAACGTTCCACTAGGAGAACTTTTCAGAGGCCAATGAGTAGGTTCTTGTTGCTAAAACAGACTCTAAAATTGAAAGAAATATAATAAAAGCATGAAGATACTTATATATATCACCAAGAGGCTTGAATCCAGAAGTTTTTTGAGTGTACGTACAAACCTTATCGACTGTTGTGTTTGATAATCCAGTTATAAAGGGCTCGAAAAACTCTGCACGCGTTCGTATTTCACCAGCAGTAACAAACCTGAAGAACATTACAACTGAGACACCAGATTTTGTCAAAATTACGTTCGGTTAGATATGCGTCGATCAAAGAAACACTTAAGAGTGACTTACTGTAGTCGGAGACAGACTGATCTCTACTTCTGTTAACCAACTCTTCGTAGCTGTAAGAGAAAGATATTCGCACACGGGATGATATAATATGAGAAAAGCAACCAATCATCCACTAATAGCGGTCTAGATAAACAGCCCTCTACCTTATAGACTCTTCAGTTCCTTGGAGAATGTCATCTAGTTGCTCGAGGAACAACTGTAACATTGAGAAAAAATGAAATTGAGCATTTCTAGATGATCTTACCAGATTTAAATGGCAGATACAAAAGAGAACATATCTCCAAAACAAAACAAGGTGATAGATTTACCGCAAAGAAGTCTTCAAAAGTAAAATCTGTATAACCTAAGTTTTGCAGAGTCTTTCTACATTTCTCAACATTGACTTTGATACGATCGACTTCAGCACGATCTTGTGATTCCAAAACATGCTCCTACAAATGAATCATAACAGAAAGTAACTTTAACTAGAGATAGAATACAAGTCTAACCAAAAGAGCACAGTTCAAAACATCAGCTATAGAAACAACAGTTCGACATAATTGAAGACATTCTGAGAACATACAAGGTAAGAGAACATAAAACTTCGGAAGAAGCAATTCCCATCGCCTCTTGTCCGCCTGATTGCAGTATATTGACTTTCCAGTATCTACAAGAATTGCAAACATGATAATTCTAAACAAAAAGAAAGAGAAGAAGAAGAAGGAAGAAGCAGAAATACATGGAAAGAAAGGCAACCTTTATCTTCTCCAGCAAAATGGGACTCCCTGCTTGGTATTCTGCAGATAAACTAGAGAGAGGTTCCTGCACAGAATTGAACGAAAAGCATAATATTTCTAAGTTAGAAAACAGGCTCATTGGGTACGATCTTTCCCAAAATTATACATTTAGCAATAAATCTGAAGTCACACAGACATCCCAAGCAACTCATAGGGAGTATTTCTCACTTCTAATCAAATGCAAGACATTAGTTCTTTCGACAGAGTACAGAGCAAAATGACTCTTTCATGTAGATTCCAAGAAAACAAATAAAACAGGAAGATTGTCACAAGAAAGCAGCCGCATATCAAAGATCTGAAACAGAAGATCATTCATTTAAGTCGATTTGCTCTGACCTTATCACCAACATAAGGAACTTTTGCAGCATCTTCTTCTTGAAAAGATGGTTCCTCCATAGCATCTTTCATTGAACAATTTCCCCATTCTTCAAACTTATTAGCCGCAATGGATGCAGCGACTTCCGCTTCATCCTTCACAATATCATTCTGATTCTGCATCGTCACTACACCACACCACACACAGTACACACTCTAGCTTAGCCTCATCTAAACGAATTCAAAATCCAAAATTTTACAGTAGGATCTAACGCAGACGACTAAAAAATCTCATACTGTAATCAACTGATCATAAATAAAACAGAATTCAAAGATAATTCATTCTAGTTATAACAAGAAGCAACAAATCTGACAAGATAAACACCGAATCCACCCACACTCGTACACATACTCCAAATCAACAAAATCAATGGCGGATGAAAAAGAGAGAAGGAAACCGATTTACCAGGAAACGAAGATCGATTCAAGAAATCTTCCGACCTAATTTCAAGCGGTTGGGAACACTCTGCAATGTTTACAAAAAGAGTGGGGAAGAAAAAACAAAAAGCCTTTAGAAAATCTTCTGAAACTGGGGTAACCAAAAATTTCATCAATTTGATTGGAGGGGCAGAAAAGGTAAGAGACGTTTCGCTTTTGATAATTTTAATATTTTTCTCTAGACAGAATAACAAAAAAAAAAAGCCAAAGCGTTTCTAGACCATAAAAATGACGTGCATGTGGCTTTGCTAAAAATGAAACGACAAGAGGAAATAACTTAAAATGGGCCAGATATTTGGGCCCTTTCGTGGATTCGGCTGAATAAATAAACGACCTATTCGAAATCTCAAGTTGTTTATTCGGCTGGATTCTAATAATGATAAGAATTAAAAATGTTGGGAAATTATATTTAAAAATTATAAAATATAATTACTATCAAATGTCTGAATTTTTTTTGACGATTTTTCCACAAAATTCTGACACAGTTAGTCCATTTGTAACTTCTGATGATATTCCTATGGAAATTTTAATAAATTGCTGTTGAATTTATAAGAGTAGTTGGAAGATTAGCTAATGAATCAGCTGTTACGGGGAATATTCAAGAACATGCTCATTTTTCAGCAGTAGAGAAACTTTGTCAGAAATCTTTGAACAAACGTCAAAAAATTATCAGAAAACTATCAAAATTTTTAACGTAAAACAAGTCACTGGAAAAATCTATCAAAACAATATATTTTTTCGCAAAGTAGTCTATTTTTTTCTGTTGAAAGATATAAGAAAATACAAAGTTTGTGAGGATTTTAAGACTCAGATTATCTAATCCAGTCCACACAGAGACATGATTCTAACCAATCCATATAAAGACATTTAAATAGAACCAGAGTTTTAGCTTGTGTTTAAGAAAGTGATAAAACACTAAGTGGATGATACACTGGTAATAATCAACATGATTTAATCAACATAATATCTAAGAATTAAGGTGACTTTGAAGATTGGATATTATGTTTTGAAATGTCTCTTATGCCCTTTAAACATAGTGAAAAATGATATTCATAGATGATGGATATACAATCACATGATATAAGTTTTATGACAATATGATTTTAGACAGGTTTATATATTTTGGAGGGGTACTAGTTAGTGAAATGTAAATTACATGGCTTCATTATGATGTAATTTTTTCTATGTTTTAATAGCTTAGGTTATTGTGATTCTTCTATTATTTTCTGAGATGAGAATTTCTCAAAATTGTATAAATGAATTCAAAAAAATCAATATCTTTATTTATTCTTCTTTTTATTCGTCAAACAATCATTCTTTTCTTCCCTTCTTGCAACATTCCTATTTCTTAGTAGGCTGACGAAAATTTGAACATTAGCATATAGTTGTACACTTTTTATGCGGGTAATAGAATTTTCATTTTTTATACTTTTAATAATTCCATGTATATTAGAATGAAAATATTTATTTTATAACTCATCCTTCAATATGTCTCGACTCAACCAATCGAATAAGAAGAAGAAGCATTGATTGTGATTTCTTGATGCTTTAGAATGTGAGAGTAGATTAGATGCCAAGGAAAGTATTGTGTATGTTTTAGAAGTTACAGCACCTTAATTCCCCAAAAAAAATACCATAAAACAAGCTCCAAGTGTAAAGCAGAAACACATATGCCAATTAAGTTGATATTTGGCTTGTGCTTCCTACGTCAAATGGATTATTAGAAAATGGATACACAAATAGAAAACCAAAAATAGAGAAGCAAGATGCAAGAGTTGAGGCAACTTCTCTGATAAACACACAAAAAATCCCTTTATATTGTAATCCATAAAAACTAAATTTGCTTAACTCAAAATCTTACCAATACCACGATCAATATGAAACCAACCATCTCCCGATCTCTAATTGTTCATTTCTGTTTGCTTCACATCTGTTATTTCTTTCTTATTTTCATGTTCTAAAATTAATACCTCGAAATAGGGAGAAGCAGAAGCTCGTCTAGGGGAAAAATATGCACTCTGAATAAGCTCTGTTTTGTGTGACAATTCGCTGTTTTTTTTTTTAATAATGTTAGCAAGTTGAGACGAAAAGCTGTTCAAGAAAACAAATCATGGTCCAAAAAAAATCTAAAAATTTGAAATCTGAGATCGATTGCCTGCTACTGAGACGATCGGACCACTATTAGTTGAGTCTCTCAACAGATCACCTCCGTAGTAAATGGTAGGTAGAACACTTTGCAGATTTCTAACCCTAATGCTTGATTCTTGCAGGTGACTGACGAATGTGTGAAGAGAAGACGCCATATGCGAGTTCCCATGTAACTTGGTAAAATCTCTCAATTTATGAGATGTGTTGAAGGAAACTCAATGTGGATGGATCAGCCATCAATGTAGAAGCTGAACCGATCTGAGAAAATCAGTAACAAGGTTGAAGAAACATGTTTAGAAGAAGGCTTGTTGGAATATCATTTTGGCATTTTTCAAAGAATTTTGTAACTTAATTTTGTATATATATATATATATATATACAATATATATTAGGGGTAAAACGTGAAAGTTCGGTATAATCTTTTATAGCATTAAGAAAATCTTTTTGGCTTGCTGGAATTAGTTTGCCTTGGTTTAGTTTGGCAGCTCATATTATTTCCTTTAGAGGCTTACTACTAAGCCCTGTGCCAATGCGTCGAGCTTCTTCTTGTGTGTATTGAGATAAGGGCAAGCCTTTTACCTTAACCCACAAGGTAAACATGGAGAAGTCGATCTCAGCCACAGAGCCTACCGACGGCCACTCCTTGACCAATAGAACAATGCCTTTGGCTACCCAGATTCCTATGTTTGCTACTCATTTATTTATTTTATCTAAAAGGCCTCTGGTTGTTTCATCAAAATTTTGCATTGTTATAGTATCTTAAAAAATGTCTTTTTGAAACAGGGCTGGGCCTCTTTATAGTTTACTAGTAGTTTACCCAGTCTATTTTTGTTTCTTTTTCTATATTCTTTCAAAAACAATTAAAATTTCCAAAATTGAACAATAAATAAATGAAAAAAAAAAATCAGAGATCGTATAACTTATTTTCTTTACTTCTCTTTCAAGTAACTTACGACTCGTATAACTTATTTTGTTTCTTCTCAAATGTATAAAAGGGCCCCCAAAACAAATTCATGTGGGTTGATGCTGAAATTTTGAAAATCTGAATGTCATTTTCCATTTTCCCATAAACAAAAAGAATTCGAATTTGGCCGGGTAGGTTAATTTGTGGATTTTTACGATGCGAAATGTTAGTTTGTGTAGTTAGACGAAGAGCTAGTTTTGGTTGCTTCGTCTCCACTCTCCACTCTCCAGTGCTAAAAGTTGGTTTAGTTCTTTGGTCATATTTTTTGTATGTCATTGTTATTGTTTTGTTTTATCATAGAAGAAGAATCAGTCCATTGGGCGTTTCTTACCCTTACCGTGTGCTAACTTTTGCATTTACGACAAAAGTATAAGCTCTGCAAAGTCAGAACAATCTATGTTATAGTTTTATCGATTTAATTATGTAATGTTATATCATTTGTGGTTTTGAGATGTTAAAAGGCCAACCGAAACAACATGTTCTATTACATCTCGTCAACCAAATTATATTTCTTTCACATGCACCCTAATTCTAGATTACAATTTTTTTTAGTATTTCTCTTGTCTCGTTAGAAGACAAAGTAATAATACGATTTTAATTAATATAAGGATTAGTTTAACCTTTTTTTTCCTTATCTTTATATGATGGAGCGCATGGGCAAACGACTAAATAACCTTAAACTTATGCCACATCCTTTGTAAACATTGCCCAACTAATTATCGGTCACGACACCGTAAGAAAAATTATTGGTTTATGCATTATGCAACATTTTTTTAAAGTCTGCTTGTCGGAACTTTGTTTGACCCGATTATATTTGTTTAGTGTCTGAACCACTTGGATCAAGTGTCATAAAAAGCCAAAAAAAAAAAACATAATTAGTGTTCGATTTATCTGGAGGTTCTAATATTTTTTTAATGATGGAGTATTCAAGCAAGAGCCGGTTGTTAGTAATACCGATTAGGACATATAATCTCAAACTGTTTGCGAATGAAGTGTGCATCAAATTAAACTTGATGTGCATGGCGTAGAAGTTAGACCAACAAAGAAACGTAGCTGGACTCAGCCAATTAGGTAAAAACTAATGAAAGTTTCTAACATTTCATTAAACTAATCACACTTGCTTACCAAAATTAAGTAATTCTCTGAACATCTTTTAACCTCTTAGAGCATCTGCAATGGTTGCCTCTATATTTTACTCTAAAAATAGAGTTCTCTATAAATAGAGAAAAAGTTTACTGCAATGGTTGCCTCTATATTTGACTGTAAATCTTATTATTATTTGCTTACAAGTCCTTTTACTTTTAAATGTTTTAAAAAACTTTTATTTATTTTCTTTTAACAATAATTTAACATTATTATATTTTAAATTTTTTTATTTATTATATTTTACTGTTTTATTTTAAACTTTTAAATGATTATATAACTAATTATTATTAATATATGTTAATTAAGTATAATATTAGATGGTATCTTATTGTTTAAGTATCAAATAAAAAGATATAAAAGTTTAAAGATTGTTTTGTAAATAAAAAAGTTCTACTCTATAAATAGAGAAATGAACAATATATCTCTATATAGAGAAATACTTCATTTCTCTATTTATAGAGTAGGATATAGAGTACTAATGCAGATAATTTTACTTTAAAAATAGAGTTTAGAGGCAGAAATAGAGTACCAGATGCTCTTACTTATCAGTGCTTACCAATCCACGCTGCGTTGCATGCAATTAAGCGATAACGACCTCCAACTAAAGGTGATCTTATCCACTGATTTGTCTAGACTGACTAGACATTTTGTAGACTTGGGTTCAAACATCTCTAGAGTCAAACGTATAACTATAAGCTCAAGTAATAAAAAAGATAAACGGCGCTACAAACTCCACCCAAGCTAAGTAAACGTGGTTCTAGATGGTCCTAGATCAACTATAGAGCTAGCTATATCACTCACCAACACTAGATCACACATGGTGCTACACGATCAAATCTGAGCCACAATTCTAGAAAAA